ATCCAATCATTGGACTTATCATCGGCCCTTCTCAATTAAACTTTACACTTACACTGTGGCATAATAAGCAGATTTTATAACAAAACAAACAGGCATACATGACAGTAATATGTACATATGTATGTATGTATGTATGTATGTACATATACAACCGCAAAAACCTTTCGAACATTAAAAGGCCTGCGTCCGCTAGTGCGAACCAATTGACCGCTATGCGCAACGGAAGTCAAAATCAAAGCCATCAGATAGATTTTGCTTGAAAAGAAGAATATTTGTGAGAGAGCAAAAATACATCGCTAAGGGGCACACCTCGTTTGAAACTAAAACAAAAAAAACGTCTCCATAAGTTTATCTCCAAACTACAATTTTCATATTTTCTTTAAAGAGTGTTAAAATGTCACTTTATGCAAACTGTAAAATTTTTTTTTCTTTCGAAAATGGATTTTTTTATTTTAATTTTTTAATTTTTTGAAGTAAACTGATTTTTAAAAATATATTTTATTTACATGAAAATCAATAAAACGGACTTTTTCTCTCTTTTAGATGCAATTCAAAAGTCTTAATAGTTTAGGAGTTAAGTGACTTCAAAGTAAGACAATCTCACTGTTTAAGTTTTGTTTTGTGGGTTCACTGTATAAATATACCCTTAACATTTTTAAACAATTGGTAGTGTTTTTTTTTTTGTGTAAATCCCAAAGTTCGTCTTATTTTATGCTGTCACACTAGAACAGGCGCTATGCTGTCTCTTAAGATGTCAGGTATAGCTAACTGATTCCTAAGCTCAATGATATACTGTTCAAATTAACAGATTACATGAACAATTTGAAAGACATGCTATAACTGATATCTCTCTTACTCCACCCACTGTATAAAGCTAATCTACTTCTGTCCATCCCTCTTACTCCTACGTAAAACTAAGGAGTATTATACTTGTTCCTATAAATTAAGTTAATATGTTACATATTATGAGGATAATCACCTAATGTTCTATCATCATTTTGAGAGAAAGCAAGATCTTACAAAGCTGAAACTCTTTCTGACTAAAAGTATGTGACATATCCACCCGAAATCACTTTTGCGCACGTCCTTTAGTGGTGATGTTGATTTGAAACACCTTATAGAGTAAGAGTGCGGTTAGCACCGATATTTGAATATTTCTCTCATACATGTTTATAATACCCTAATAACTAGTTTCCTTTGACAGTATTCGGTAGGTTTAGACTTAAGACTTACACTTAAACTTAGATTAGATTGAAAATTAGGTACCCAGCTAAATTTGGAGTGAAAGACGAATCAAAAATTTAAATTACAACCGACCCAATCTAAAATTGTAGCAATAATTTCTTCTAATACGGAGCTTTAAATATCAAATATGCAATGGCATTTTTGACATGAAAAAGTTTCTCGTAATCAAATCAAAAAAGTTGTTATATTTTTTAATTTTATAGGAACCTTTATTTGTTAGAAAACTAAAAAAAGTGTTTATGAATATGGAAAGCAAAATTATGTGTAATGTTTAAATGGTTTGACTACTACTAACTCTCTAACTGTTTAGCTTAATCACGATATGGAACATATGAAGTATCGTTAAAATGCCTGGCATTTTCTTAACATATTAAAATTTGTTATGTTAGTACAGACACCATAATATACATATGTATGTATATGTGTATGTTTAGGTGGCAACAGCCGCTTGTCGCTGTAAAATTGAATTTTTCATTAAATGTTATTAGGGTCTAACGTATATTGGGATTATTTTGTGCACACCTACATGTTAGCATATATATTGTACATAGACGTACAATATGTATGCTTATATAAAAGTATACATGAAACGATTTCGGGGCCTATATAAGCCAATAGTGCCTCCCATTAAAGTTATATGTGTGTCCATTAGGTTGGTACTAAAATTACGGAAAACATTTAATATCACTATGGACGATGATATCACAATATAAGAGTTAGCTGAAACATAACGCAGAGTATTTCTAATTAAAATTTATTTGTGAAGGAACGGAAAAATTCAGTGAAAAGTTATAACATTATAGTCAAAATTATCACATTCTATTGGTTTTGATTGGAAATTATTAAAGAATGTGAAACAGAGGTAATAAATTGGCCATTAACTGTTTCCAAACTGAATCAAAATATATATAACTTATAAATATAGGTTTCATCAATATAAACAAAATTACTACACAATAACAAAATATATAATATACCTGCTATAATCAAGCCAACATATTTGTTTCTAAATATGCTTCTACTTTCTTATGTGAACAACTAATATATAAGGTTTGTTTTCATATTTCAATAGTCTATAATTTTAGAAATAGCATAATAAAATTGTAATAAACATTTTGAATATTTTCAATAGTTTGTGAGATGCTCCTTTCTAAAGTCTAGTTGCTTAGCTCTATCGATTTTTTTTTAAATACGATTTTCTCAAAAATATATTTTTCAAAATTTTGTTCTTTTAAATAACTCGAATAACTTTTTTTTTGATATATTTTTTTGCAAGTTCCATAATTATGTATGAATATATCCTCAAATCTATAAAATATTTCAAACAATAGTCGTGCCTTTTAACAAAATAGAATTAAATTTGCGATAATTGTTACTTCACTTAATATTTTTATTATTAATTTTTGTTTTTGTTTTTAAGTGAAAGAGACTGAAAAAAGTATTCATTTGACTTTTGAAGGACTACCATAGTAGTGGTAATGACATTAGCATAAAACTTTATATATTCATACTTATGCACCAGAACGTACGCCAATTTTATGTTTTTTTTTTGTTGTAATGCCAATGTGTTCATTGGTCCATTTCAATGCCGCTAAATTAACATATCGACACGTACGACCAAATGACCCACAAGTTCAAATACATTTACGCATATATTTGTAGGTGTGTATGTATATATGTATGCGAATAGCTTTATATGTGTATAAGCACAAACATATACATATCTGGATACCAGCATCCTATGCCTATGCGGGCCAATACTTTGTAACACGATTTCACAAATATTCTAAACCTCACGCACACATACATACTTATATATACTTATGGACAAAATAATAGGCGTACGTTTAGGTGGTACTGTTTTTTAGCCAAATGGTAGTTGTAACTGTTACTTTTTTTTGGTACCGTTACATTTTTACGATGAAGGCGAAGGAGAAGTGCATAAGTATCAACAAATTGCATTACTATTTTGTTAATTTTGCGTTTGAGTGATAAGTTATCACTGCTTCATTAAGTTTGATTGGTCAATAAAATAGATGTAAGTAATTTGTTTTTAAAAAATAAGTGATATTTCGAACACCATAAACTAAAAACAAGAAATTATTTAGAATATGACGTAACAGCCACTGTACCGATGTAGGGTATCGATTGGTAAAAAAATTGCGTGATGAAGGAAAAACGTATAAATTCTTTGCAAAATCCGTTAGGGAGGTCGAAAAACTGTGTAATTGTTGATCGCCGTATACTTTTCATGGCAAAAAAGGACCCTTGTGTGACTTAACGGCGAAGTTCAGTGAAAGTACGGCCAATTCGACGTCGATTAGTTAAGATTAATTTTTATGGAAATGAGTAGAGATGGAACTATCAATAAGATAACTACCCGAAACATACATCGATCCCCTCATCTCAACCCGATTGAAGACTTTGTAAAGTGACCTTAAGAGGAGATTGGCAGCCTTTTATTTTCAAAATAATGAGCAACTGTGGCGAAAAACAAATTAACTTTGGGATGCTACTCCATTAGGAACGTGCCAAAAATGAGTTCAATCCATGCCGAATAGAATTGGAAAACTAATGAAAAACCACGGAGGATATACAGGTGATCCAAGCCCACGAACCGGAAAAAGGATAACTTTAATTTTTTCATTTAATTTAGAAAAAAATATTTTACAACTATTATTTTGACCAATGATATTTCTTATTTTGAAAAAAAATTTGTTTTAAAATTCGGAGTGAAAAATATAGATATGTAAATATGTCTAAAACAAAATTGTTTTAAATGCAAATTCTTATTTTGTCCATAAGTGTATATGTTTATATATATGTTAACACTTACCTACACACACTTTTGATAGCGCAGTTTTTGCTTTTGCTTTTGACATTTTTTCCGCACATATGTTCGTATAAGCAAACAGAACAGTACAAAATGTTTAAACGACTTCATAGGCATCCACATTTGTGTCGAATAGCTACCTAATAGTACATACATACATACATGTTGGTCCTTAAGAAGCTGCTGGTAGCAACAGCTTCGCAATTTCTTTTCCAACTCCAACGAACTTTTAGAAATTTAGGGCATTGACATAACCGTTAAACATTAAAGCTTTCAACTGGCGTTAAGTTCTAAAGTAAATGTTTGCTTGATGTGCATTTAAAGATGTTTGTGCATTTAAATGAACTTGAATGAAAGTTGAGTCCTTTCTATGTATGAATAGTTCCCTTTTCTTACTAAATTATCCTTACAGAAAATTGAAGAGAAAATGCGAAGTTGACATAATCTCTCTTAAGTTTGTCAAGGATTTTCTCAAACATTTACCCTTACTTTAGAATCTATGTCGTTTCTTCTTGTCCTAGAATATGTCCTTTCTGCTTATAATTTTGTGCAAATATTATGAAGATTGAATTCTTCTCGACGCAGATAGGGCAGAAGACCACTCCGAATAATTAAAGAAATTACCACTTCTACGATTCAAAAATTCTATCCGTCTTCTTCAGCGGTGTTTGATACTACCTTACCTAGTCTCTAAAAGTTAGATTTTAAGGGACTATAAATTTCCAAAAACGCAATTTTTTCGTATATATCGAATATATATTTGGTATATTTATAAGTATTCTCCGAAAAAGGCGTAACCGCTATATTTATGATTTTTCTATAATAATATAAATTTTTCAGAACTTACTTAATTATTTTATATTGTCTAAAAATATTTAAAAAAATGTTCTAATTCTTTACGGTAATTTTCTTTCAATTTCAGGTGGTTCCGACAGCAACAAAGGCAAGAGCAAGAAATGGCGCAAAATACTACAATTCCCACACATATCGCAGTGTATACACCTCAAAGACAAATTAGGTAAGCCATGTTTGCGGGGTTTGTAAAAAACGGTATAAAAAAAATTTTAAAATAATAATAAACAAGTAAGGAATGGCTAAGTTCTCGCAAAGTCAAACGGTACACTCGTTTTTTTGCTTGATTTGTATAGTGGAAAGTGAAAGAATCAGTTGCAATTTAAAATGATGTGATATGGAAAATAGGCGTGGATGTAATTCGATTTCGCCGATTTTCGCACTATAACATAGAAATATGAGAAGAATTTTATGTATCGAATTTGGTTGAAATCGGTTAAGCAGTTCCCAAGATATGGGTTTTCACCTAAAAGTGGGCTGTGCCACGCCCACTGTCTAATTTTGAGCGTGGTTCCTATAAAGTCATCTCATACCATCCCAGAGATAAATTTAATGTCTCTGGCGTTTTTAGTGCTTGATTTATCGCGCTTTTAGCCACAGTACCTTTATATGGGGAGTGGGGGATTTACAATTATATAATTTAATATGTATGGGGCAATTTAATTTGAGGCTTTACAACGTTAATGATCCATGTAGCTACTTAAGATGTATATATAAATTATTAAAAGGTATAATATAATTGAATATTGGAATATTTTTCACGAATAAATTGAATTGTTGAACGAACTGAAAGAAGTTTAGTTTTTATATGTTATATGTTTCCTAAAGGTGGTTTGTACGAATTTTAAACCATCCTAATGAAGTTTTCTGAAATAGTTTATTATAGCGATGATCTTGCTCCTAAAATAACTTTTAGAGAATTATTGTTATTAAAATATTAAAATTCTTCAGAAAAATATTCCAGTATTGGTCCTTAGCGATACCAGATGGAGTGGCTTTACGTAGTCCATAGGGGGTAGCCACCTACAGGCTCTGTGGCCTAACTAACGATACCTCTTCAAGTGTATCGTATCGTAAGGCCCCTAAATGGCCCCTAGATGTTCTCTTGTTTCCCTGATGCCTTGCTCTTTACAATTCGATCGGTCACGTTTTCGGTCGACAGCCATACACAACTCTTGGCAATTTCGTCCACTATTTCATTGTTCTCGATGCTTTTGTGACCTGACATCCAGTAGAAGTGAAGTCGCTTGTTCCTGGCGACACTCTCCACTGCTACCCTGCTTCCCAAAACACTTCTGGCCGATATGCGAAATGAGGTCATTGCTTAATAGCTGCTTGGCTCTTGAGTTTCTTTCCAATTCTTTAGATGTTAGCTCTGGGGCTCTCCCAATAACAAAAACTTCTGCTTGAAATATATTGCAGTGGTCGGGCAGCTTAAAAGACTTTCTTATACTCCGGCCAGTATATCCCCGCACCTACTCTGTCCTCCATTTTCGAGCCATCCGTATAAAAGCTTAATGTGTTGTGCTCAGATACCATACCTTTACAACAACCTATGATATACCAAATCTTCTTTCCTAATTGAATACTAGGATCATGCGCAGCGAGCCGCTGAACCCTTTCCTTTGGCTTCCGGTACGTAGATTTCTTCTTCAATTCTTGTCGTTTTTTGTTCAATGCAAGGCTCAAATTGATCATTTGTTTTATGTAGCGATTAGTATTAACAGTTTTACCAATTCTTAGAAGCTCATATAATTGATATACCACACCCTTCTAATCCAGTCAAACACAGAGCATCGGCTTTTTACCGAATTGATCTGTTTTGGCAGTCGATGTTGATGGTTGTCCCGGATTAAGCCATGATTTTCTCCGTTTAAGATTCTTAAAACAAATCCATTTTTCATCGCCAGTGACAATTCGATGATTTCCTTTCGTGTTTTTAAAGCAAAATTTCTCAAGTGATTTTCTGGTTTTCTATTTTATTTTCATTCAATTCATGTAGCAACCATTTCTTTTGGGTCTTTTTCATAGTTTTCATTCAGTCTGAAATTGTTTATTTCCTTTTGACTCAAAGTGTAATTTTTATCCAATATTGCTTGCAGTTCGGTGTCTTCAAACTTTTTTCATGGTCATCCACGTTTTTCATTTCTCACATCAAATTCATTATCTCTGAATCGTTGAAACCATATTTTGCATGTTGCTTCTGATAGAGCATGATCACCATATGCCTCGACAAGCATTCAATGTGACATTGCAGCACTTTTCTTCAAATGAAAACAAAAAATTAATGATTTCCGCAAGTCATCTTTTTCCGGTACAAAATTTGACATTTTCAATACAATGTAAAAATATGATGTTGTTTGTTCAATGACTGCAATATTATTGAATATATTTGACAGATGTCATGCCAGCCAAATAGAAATAAAATTAAGGCCGTTCACAACAAATGTTCCCTACCAACCTATTTGTATCTTAAAGCTCCCTTCAGTTCAGTTCCCGTCGATCAAAATGTGTGATACTTTAATAAAATTAAATGGATAAGTATTCTTTAAAATTATATGGTTTACAGCTGAATATGCCAAACCTCATATCCCTGATAAAATGAATTCCGATCCTATGGATGATATTTTCACATCAACTCATTTTAGGATGATTTTAGTATAATTTTTGCTGAGAGGAAGTAAAATAAAGCAAGAAATCTAAGTGAGTCTATGACCTAATAAAATACCAAATTTTATAGTAAACCATTCACGATTTAGTCGAATTATGAATGTTGAATTCTTTCGCAACAATTTTTTTAATATAAAGTTTTGCCAACACCTGAAGGTTTTCGGCGGCTTTGATCTTTGCAAGTTTCAAGAGTATAAAATGTTCGATTACACCCGAACTTAACCCTTCCTTACTTGTTTAAACTAAAAGCTTTTTACTAAATTTAAATATTTGATACGCTCATCTTTTTACAGATATAAGTTATGGTTACGTGATAGACCAACAACCCATCGGCCGTACATTGTTTCGGCAATTTTGTGAAAGCAAACGGCCGATATACTTTCGGTACATTTCGTTCCTGGATGAAGTGCAGCGGTGAGTATAAAATGCATGACACTTCATATCATTATGTATGTATATACCAATTATTAGAATTTCGTTTTTGCTCTCCTCCAATGCGAAATTCAGATACGACGTGGAGTACGATGAGAATCGTATCGCTATTGCGGTCGATATTGGACGACGTTTTCTGGCTATTGACACGCCAACCGCGCTAAATAACGGCATTTGCGATATCAGCGATGTCATACGATCGGCAAATGAGAATGCAGTTGATGACGACGATGCCAACAACACTAGTTCCACCATTGAGAACAACACTGCTGCAGAGACTGAAAATCACAATAATACCACCACCAATAGCAGCAGCAATAATCACAAAAACTACGAGCAACACAATGGCGATGAGCACAACAATGGCAGCAATCAACAACAGAAACATACATTGAGCGATGGCAGTGCGACACACGATGCCGGCGGCTCTGGTGGCGGTGACAGTGGTGTGGATGCGGGCGATACAGTTGGTGGCGGCAGCGGTGAAGGCAGTGGCGGGGGGGGAGGTGGTGACGACACCGGTGGCGGTGACCTAAACAAGGATAGCAGTAATTGCCACTATAGTCCCGGTGTGGGCAAATTGAATCCCGCTACCGGCGATGAATTGGTGCTGGATGTGCTCAATGATGATCTTATTGCGCGGGTGCGCGACAAGATCACCAGTGGCAATAAAGAACTCTTCGAGCCGTGCGTAACGGCTGTGAAGGCATTTCTGGCCGGTGAACCATTTCAAGAGTTCGAGACTTCAATGTATTTCCATCGGTGAGTGTGTGATGGAAAGAAATTTTTATAATATATTACAGTTTTAAGTGGTTACACCAGGCAAGAGCTCTCAAAAAAACCCTAACTTCGACAATTTAACCCAAGGGTAAGAAAAGGGAAATAAAAAATCTCTTCTTTAGGCTTTATGATGTATTAACTTAAGTGTATACAATGTTTTTATATTGACATTTTGATAGAAAATGCCAGCTATGTGGTTTATCTTTGGAATCACATTTTTTAAAGAGGGTCTCTAAGATCGACATTGATTCTGGGTACTCTTGTTATCTTAATAAATGAAAAAAATTAAAAATGAGATCTGAATGAATATGGCAGTTTTTAGTGCAGTACGTACGTGCTTAGCTTTACTTAAATATTTTGCAAAACAGCGGACATGTAAAAAAAATTTAAATTTTTACCGAAAAAATTGGAAAACACCTTAACTTCGGCGGCACCGAAGCTATTGTAATACCCTTCACATGTGCATTTTTTATAGCATGAAAGGGTATAAAATTATATTTGTCTTGACTTTGAGTGCCCAGTTTGTATACCGGCTATATGCCATAGTGGTCCGATCGAAACAAAAGGAACTACTTTGCATGCCAGGTGTGTTCAGAAAATAAGGGAAATTTTTAAATTTAAAATTCCGCGGGATTGGAAAGTCCAATTGTAAAATTTTTTTATATTTTTTTTAAATTACATACTCACATGCCCCTGAAGTGAGATAAAATTTGCTGCCGCGTTCATTGCTCACTTTTTCTGTAGCAGCCGCTAAGGTTATATTTAATTTTATGAGCTTGGCTATTTTCGTTTGTTAAAAGCTCACACTTCTTTACTTGTTCGTGAATTTTTGACCAAAAATAATAATGTAACGAGGCCCCAGCCTTCATTTTCGACAGAAATGGCTCCGTGTGACTTTTCCCTATTTCCAAAAACAAAGATAACCTCAAAGGGTCGTCCTTTTACAATTATTACATATATTATTTAATATATGAAAATCGCTTATTTTTTTAACACACTTCTTATATACAGATAGACAGACGGACATGACTAAATCTACTTAGCTAAGTCAGTTTGATAAGTTATAATATAAGGCACGTAAAAGGCTCACGAAAAATCTCAGCTTTTTGGGTACTCAAAAGAGTCCGTTTAACACTAAACCTACCACGAGCGGTCAAATGACCGTTTTCAAATTTTCTTTAAAATTTTCTAAGCACCACGTTATTATACCGCCATTAAACTTTATGACTTTTCCTAAAATATGCATACAATTGTTTTTTTAATATTTACTACTTTTTCGATTCTTTGATTTTTGAGATAACTATGTAGACCGTTTTAACTACCACGAGCGGTCATTTGACCGACTGAACGATTTATATGTTTTTGTAATAGAATACTCTCGAAAACTCAAATCTGAAATTAAAAAATAGATACTGTTAACGATTCATCATAAGTTCCATTAACTTGAGAGATTTATGCTATACAATTTGGCAGCACCATTCTCTAGGTGCAATCTGGCATCATCATTATCAGCTGACGCACTTTAGCTTCGGCATTTTTACCGTTGTTTGGGTCAGACCATTGTGAAGCACACAAGAACAACAGGAATCACTATTATCAGGTGATGCGTTTGGCTTTGGCATATCATACCATTCTACTGTTGTTTAGTCAGGCCATTTTGCCGTATGCAATAACAACTTTGTTATTTTCGTCAGTTCTCTTACATACTAATTTTCTATATAAGCATAAGTTAGCATAAGATTGAGTTCAGTTGTTTGTAAAAGGATTTGGATGGTACTTGGAGCGTACCAAAGAAATAGTGGAAATAGTGATGTTATAAATTACTCTTTCAACGAACCACATTTTTTAGTTTTTATTTCATTATTTGTGTGCATCTATATCAGCCTAAAAATGTCAAGGCATTCGATAAATATCAAATTATTAGAGAATATAAATAATATTGACGAAGAGTGTTCGGAAGATGAACGGGAATTTTCTGATAATGAAGATGACAAAGAGGAAAATGATTTTGATTTATTTGGCAACGACTCTGACACCGATAGTGACCAAGAAAACATTTTGAACATACGTAGAAGACAAAAGAGAAGGATATTTGTAATTAGTTCCGAAAGTGAGAATGAAGAAGAGCTAACCGAAACTGCTATAAACGGAACTGAATGGCAAGAAATAAAAGAAGGGTCTAATCCTGGAAGAACAGAGATGCATAATATTTTTAGAGAAACATCAGGCCCAACCGGGCATTCTAAACGAACTATTATGAAAGATAAATTTTTTACAGCATTTTCTCTTATTGTTGATCATAATACAATCGAACATATAAGAAACTGCACGGAAGCCGAGGCATTTCGAGTGTTGGGAACTAAATGGAATCTATCTACTGCAAAATTATATGCATTTATCGGATTATTGTATGCACGAGGTGCATATGAGGCAAGAAATTTAGATATTTCACTCCTATGGAACAAAAAATGGGGACCAGCATTTTTCTCAAATACTATAAGCAGAAATGCATTTACGGAAATTATGAGGTTTATTCGGTTTGATCAAAGAAATCAAAGAAGTCATCGCTTACAAACCGATAAATTCGCTTTGATTTCTAAAGTTTGGAACAAATTCGTAGAGAATAGCCAAAACTGTTATAAACCAGGAGCATATATTACTATAGATGAACAATAAGCGAATATCAAAAAGAGCAACAGCCAGGCAAGGAAGAAGAGCCAGCAAAAGCAGCCAGAAACATTAGTGCACAAACAAGTGATCGGAAAACATGTCAGATAAGATATTGCAAAAAAAATAAGACAAACAAATTCTGTCTAAAATGTAAAAAGTACGTATGCGGCAAATGTGCGATTGAGAAGCCTATAATTTGTAAAAAGTGTTGTATATAAGGAATAAAATGTAGATGATTTATTTTTAAATAAAAGAAACTATATTTTTAATTATGAAATAATTATTTTCTTCATTTTATATTAAGAGATATAAGTAATTTCAAAATCCGTCATTTGACCGCTCATGGTAGGAATAGTTATACATGCAATGCTGGTAGGTTTAGTGTTAAGTGTTTCGATACGAGTACTAAGCCCAAAAACTTTGGTTATTTAAGCGGTTTTGGCATGGCTTATTGTCTAAGTCAGTTTTTCCAAATTTCGGTGCAACCGAAGTTAACGTTTTTTTTATTATATATACATAAATACACTAGTATATACCTATATATATACATACATATATGTATATATACATATATAATACTTGTATATTTGCATTCCCTTAGCATTAATTGAAAAACGCTCAAGTACTTTGTATTATCTATAAATACTAAGCGATTTGCGTAAGAGGGATTTCCCAGTAAAAAATATTTTTAATATCTGCACACACAAAGACGCATACATACGTATTTAAGTGAGCACTTATACGAACGTGCCCGCACATACCATAAATACAATAGGTATATTGCTATACATTGGCTATTATTTGCCATCGTCAATCGCATAAAACAGCTGTGTAAATCATGGTATGCCATGTAAAATGGAAATAGAAAAATATTTTCTTAAATTAGATTAGCTAAAAATGCTCACATCGCTATTTGCGCGACAAATGCAATACACATATCACCTGCATTTGCACCTAACCATGCATACATACAGCTATGGACCAATAAATGGATGCAGCAAACGTGTAAATTTGTTAAGGACGCATGATAAGATATTCGTATTGAAAATTTTCGCACTACGTCATTTCTTAAGTAGGCAATAAGAGACGAAAATAACTAAATACAACAAGGTTGAAATATGCTCCATTATCTATTAATAACAATAATTCATTTGGTCCAAATTTGCTTTTACATAGTTTGCTTCTTTACGATGGCCGACTTAATTATGAGGAAAACAAATTAAATACCATAGTTACAGATATTAATGCTGAAATTGTGAATCAAGCTTAAAAGTTCGTATCGCTTTAATCGCCTTTTTTTTGAAAATCAACGATTTCATTATTCAACATAGTTGTTATAGAGGACGATACATTGACTATAGCGATATTCCAGTTTGGGGATATATGTTAGGTTAACTTCGATGGCTGCTCTTCAAGATGGGAATCGCACTTGGGCGAAGTAAGCGATCTTATAAATCGACAAAGCGTCTAAAGCCAACACAAATTTGCTTAGGCATTTAAGTTCTATTCCCACCACCTCAGTGAGATATCTGAAAGTGTGAGCCCCCGAATGTTCAAGCCTTGATCCCGCAAATGCGGGATAATCAAGAACGAAATGTTTAGTTATGTTTGTACCTCATCTTCTTCAATACAGCTTCTGCATCTGGCATTCGGTAAGATTATCAACCTTACAGCGTGGGCGACAACAGGACAACTATGGTGAGGCGAGCCTTAGTGGGGTCAAAGAACTCACTGGATCTCTTGCAATTGATCTTCGATCAAAATGATCCTGCGACAGCAACTGATAGTATTCAAATGTTAGCCAAGCTCCCGCGAAGCTCTGCTATCTAGTAGTACAACGCACGAAGAGAGTTAGTCGGCTTTGCAGTTAACTGCGATTCCGTTGTGGCCTGGCACCCATACTAATCTTATCACAAAGAGACTCTATGCAATTGAGAGGGTTAGGCATTGCTTAACGCACAGAAAGTAAGCTCAAGGCTAGTATCGCCGCACTGTTATCAAAGTGGATCGTTACCTTTCCAAAGGAGGCTGCACTTCGGAACAGTAATTCTACCGCTAACTTAAAGGTTAGCAACCACGAATTGAAAACGCTACAGTTGTCTGAGACTGAGGTTGGCAGAGACTGTTCACAGAGCTCGTAAATAATATACATAGTATTCCCTGTACTCGGTTTGTCTATGAGTTGGTCCATTATGGTAATTATAGGATATTCAAAATAATTTCTATAAAAATACCACATTATTCCATATTCTTTTGGGTTTTTTTTTTTACAAAAAATTCGAAAACCCAATTTTATATGTCCAAGCTAGCTGCAGCGTTCTGTGGCAAAATCAAAGATTCATACACACATACATATGTATGTACCGAAATATTACTGCCGCCAACAGATATGGCATAATTGCATTTTAAAATAATCCACTTTTACCTCTCTCTCAACACAGTTATTTGCAATGGAAATGGCTCGAGGCTCAACCTATCACCTACAAAACGTTTCGCATGTATCGCGTATTGGGAAAAGGTGGCTTCGGCGAGGTCTGTGCATGTCAGGTAAGTGCCCAGAACATACTTACATATATACGAATCTACGAGTGGAAAGCGAGGTAAAATTGTAAACTATGCAAATATAATGCAAATCCCATTTTTATGGCGCTCATGTTTTACAATAGAAATACGAGTGCCATAGGAATATGTTTTTCTATTCGTATGTACGAGTATGTATGTATGTAGTTACACTTTAGGTTTTTTCGTCGCAATCGTGTACCATTTTTGGTTTCTACATTTTTTCTTGGTTTCTCTTCTTTTTTGTTGACTTTAGGTACGTGCAACTGGTAAAATGTACGCCTGCAAAAAGCTCGAGAAGAAACGTATAAAAAAGCGCAAGGGTGAATCGATGGTTCTTATAGAGAAACAGATTTTGCAGAAAATCAATTCCCGCTTTGTTGTTAATTTGGCGTACGCGTACGAGACGAAGGATGCCCTCTGCCTTGTGCTAACGATCATGAATGGTGAGCTATTAGAACAGTTGATTTTTGGTTAATAACTGTTACTTCTATCGCATAGTGTGACCCAGCTCTAGTCTAAAATTCTAGAAACGATTAGTGTAATATAATTCGAGAGATTTTAGTTTTCTGAAATCAATCTACTATATTCTAAAATATGTCAGATGCTGCGAAACAGATCACAATCTGGAAGAAAATTAGGAGGGTTGTTAAAATTTGTTTACTATTCGAGGAAAATATAATATGATGTGGATGTAATCCTACATAGGTACACAGAAAATCCATCAAAACTATAATCATATTTGATATAATACACTTTTTTGTTGTTGTAACCGAATTTACTATTATTATAATTTCCAAGAAAAAAAAAGTATTTATAGGAAAGTTGGAGGGGGAGCTTTCTGTAAAGAGCGCTCTGTCAAGCTTAGTTTCAGGCAGTTTCGAATCATTGTAGAGTTTTTCATGCAGTAGCGGTTGTCAGTAAGGTACCAGCAAGCGTATTGCTCCGAAGTGCAGCCTCTTCCAGGGATGTGAGCATTTATTCCAACAGCAGAGCTGCAATACTACCGTTTAGCTCACTCACTGTGCGCACGAAGCTAAACAAAGAGTGTTTGTCCTCACTATCAATACAATCAAGCAACTTCGTTATCAGACTCGTTTGGTGGCCTGATCATAGCTGAACTTATGGACACTGCAAAGTCGATGAGCTCGCAAGAAGAGGCACTTTTGTCCAAATTATATCGGATTAGAAACGCGTTAGATCTCTGTTGTCCTCTAGCGCTGTACCTATTAAATCCTTCCCTCCTAGAGTAGACTGTTATTTAATTTTTCCATTCACGTTTTAAATTCCCACATTTATTATTTCCACAGGCGGTGACTTGAAATTCCATATTTATAATATGGGTGGCGATCCGGGCTTTGAAATGGTACGAGCACGTTTCTACGCCGCCGAAGTTGTCTGCGGATTGGAGCATCTACACCAACAGGGTATTGTATATCGAGATTGTAAGCCGGAGAATATATTGCTGGACGATCACGGGCATGTGCGAATATCAGATTTAGGTTTAGCCGTCGAAATACCGGAGGGTGATTTGGTGCGCGGGCGTGTCGGTACTGTGGGTAAGTACGCAAAACTGTTCGTCTCTTAATATTTCCGTGTACTAACGTCTTTATTTTAATTTTTGATGCAGGTTACATGGCTCCAGAAGTGATCGACAATGAAAAATACTCATTCTCACCGGATTGGTTTAGTTTCGGTTGTTTATTATATGAAATGATCGAAGGTCAGGCGCCATTCCGCATGCGCAAAGAGAAGGTGAAACGCGAAGAGGTCGATCGACGTGTGAAGGTGAGTCGGAAAATCATTTGCAAATCACGAAATGAACTCAGTTTGCTCTAAAAATCGAAATTTTGACGTCATAAATAATTTTAGGTTAATTTTGAGATTATGAGAACTGAAGTCAAAGTACATTTTATATAACATTTAAGCCATGTTGGACTGTATGAGCAAATATTAAATAATAAGTAAAATTGTTGTAAAAAGTTATAGTTATGAAACAGACTATATAATACTTATAGCATATATATTTCTTATTCTAAATATGGCCTCATATTTGTTTATTTTTATTTTTAGGAGGACAATGAAAAGTATTCTAGCAAATTTAGTGATGAGGCTAAATCATTATGTCAGCAGCTGCTCGCTAAATCCATAAAAGTACGACTTGGCTGTCGAAATGGTCGCTACGGTGCACGTGAAGTGAAATTGCATCCATTCTTCAACTGCATTAACTGGAAACGGCTGGAGGCAGGCATGGTGAAGCCGCCTTTTGTACCAGACGTAAGTATGACAGAATTATTTTAGGAAAGAATAATTGTCATACTGGTTAAAAAAAATTTAACCAATTTCGGAATAATTCTCTAGTTTTTTTGGGAGAGTCTAAAAAATATTTATTCAAAATATTAAACTGCCAAACTGTTTTTGAGACTATCTCAACTGGTTTTATAACACAGTTTCATCCAAGGGAATATGCATATATCTTTTAAGTGTTTTTTTTTTTGTTAGATATGTGGTTTTCAAGAAGAATAATTTAATGTTATAGCCAAGAATTTAGCTTTGTTATAAAGATAAGTGTTTGCCATTATGTTTTAAAAATGATTTCGGGCAAATGACCTCCGCAGCTGTCTTAAACAAATTTCAGCGCGCAGAGGCGCAACTCTCAACCACTTTTTGCAGCAAGGGCCGTATGTCAGCAATAACGCGCCGAATATTTTCTTCAAGGAGGTCAATCGTCTCGGCCCCACAAAAAATAGTCCAACGTATAAATGGCATGATCTTGGAAACCACGCCACAGGCCCACAACGATATGCGCTAACCAAAAGTTTCCTTCAATAAATTGATTGTTTCTTTGGCTGTATTTTCATAGCATGTAACACCGTCTTTTTGGAACCAAAGGTCATCAACATCCTCCAATTCAGGAACGAAGCTCTATACCGTTCCCCATTGACTATATTATTATTCCCGGCTTCATTTTTGAATTAATATAGACTAATGCAGAGGGAATGCCCATGGAGCACAGAAACATTTTATTTTTTAGAGGTTGTAACAGTGTCTTAACAATGGCTACTACATTCAACCAAAAGCGAGCTTCATCGCTGAACAAAATTTTCTTGTGAAACCGAAAATTTCATCGCGCGAACCGCGCATTATTTTGGTAATAGATTTGCACGATTTGCAAATTTTGTTCCGGAGTAAGTCTATTTATTATGCTGAGTATAAGCCTAGTAACAGCTATTATGAAGACCAATAAAAATACACCTTTTCTTACATTATCTTAGTGGAATAAAAAGTTTTAAAAGTAAATTAATGAAAAATTGATGACACTATTGAATTTTTATACTCTCGCAACTTGTTGCTACAGAGTATAATAGTTTTGTTCACCTAACGGTTGTTTGTATCACCTAAAACTAATCGAGTTAGATATAGGGTTATATATATACAAATGATCAGGATGAAGAGACGAGTTGAAATCCGGGTGACTGTCTGTCCGTCCGTCTTTGCAAGCTGTAACTGGAGTAAAAATTGAGATATCTTTATGAAACTTGGTAGACATGTTTCTGAGACACGTTTGGTATTGCAGATGGGCGTAATCGGACCACTGCCACGCCCACAAAAAGCCATTAATTAAAAACAAATAAATTATAATAACTAAGCTCCACAATAAGATACAAGACTGTTATTTCTTATACAGGATCACATTAGGGAGGGGTGTCTGAAGCTTAAATTTTTTTAAAGTGGGCGTGATTCCGCCCCTAATAGGTTTAATGTGCATATCTTCTAAACCGCTAAAGCTATAATAACAAACTTCACTGGAAGCAAATGTTTTTAGCACCTTTACCGTAATGTAAATGTATAGGACTATACTATATATATTATATATTTTAGCAAGGATGGGTTAAATTCTGCTAGAACTGAGCATTAAATATTTATATACTATATATAATATATATATACATATAGTAGTATAGCAAGGATGTGTTAAATTCTGCTAGAACTGAGCATTAAATATTGCTTTCCAAGTATATAATGTATATATATAAAATATATACATACATGCGATCATCATTACGAGCAGATCCGATTTATTCATGTCAGGCTGTCTGTCTGTATATACGCAAAGTCCCTCATTTTTTAAGATATCACGCTGAAATTTTGCACAAGTCTTTTTCTCCCCAAGAAGCTGTTAATTTGTCAGAACCGCCGATATCGAGCATATAGCTGCCATATAAGAACAGAATCGTGAAGGTTACTATAGCTTCAGTGCAGCCGTACTTAATATTTTTGTTGTTTTTATTTATTTTTATTATTATGTATTATAATGCTAATCAATTGTGATAATATCACAAAGAAAATTGTCTACTCTTTTCTACCACACTTCACTGTTCTATAGCCTACGCTGAGGAGATTTTATTATTATTACAAAAGTGATTTACTCGCTATATAATTATGTATATACGATTCCCAATATGATTTTTAACTTCTAAGCTAAATATTTTTTTTCTTCCTTAATAATTATTTTATTACATAACAACATAATTTCCGAGTTAACTCATTTTTCAAAAATCCATTTTATTCCACAGCCACACGCTGTGTATGCCAAGGATGTGCTCGACATTGAACAATTCTCGACAGTGAAGGGTGTCAATATTGACGACTCCGATACGAACTTCTATAGCAAATTTAATACCGGCTCCGTGTCGATTTCGTGGCAAAATGAAATGATGGAAACAGAATGCTTCCGCGAACTGAATGTATTCGGCGTCGACGACAGTCCAACGCCCGATTTGTTGATCAACGCTGTGCCGGAGCCGGAAAAAGCTGGCTGTTTTCCGTTCAGAAGAAAGGTGCTTAGTAGATATTATAAAAAAAATTTATTTACAATTTTATTTATTTATTTTTATGATTTCTTCATTGCAGAAGAAGCAACCGCTGCGCACACAGCCGATACCCATTCCCGAACACTTACTAACCACTAGTCACAGCGTTTCCTCGACGACCGTTGAAAGCTGATAGCATAAGTCAATAAGTAACATTAAGTGATAATTGTACGCAGGCGCATTAAATTACCAGAAAAAAAAAACATACACACAACAAACATCAATGAATTGGTGCAAAGTGAGCAACAAACACACACATACATACATACGTGCTGGTGTTTTCAATGTTAAATTATAATACTACATATAAATTAATTAATGTAGCGCATACATACATATATAAGTAACGCATACGCACACACACTCACACATACAAGCGCAGTAGCGTATGCAACAAACGACACAAAAACATTACTATAGATTACTATGTTAATTAAGCGTAAATTTTGTAAGCAAACGTTACATACAAACAAATTATGATACAACAACAAAAACACACAAAAACAACTTTTTTGCATTGTGTAAGCATTAAAGTTTTTACAATTTTTTTGCAAATGCATTACGCAACTATCTAATTGTAGTTATATAATATGTATTCGATTTGTATTCTTTTTGTATTGTGCAAAAGTGGCAGCAAAAAAAAAACGAAAAAAATATTCGAAAAAGTTTATAAATAACTGTAGTTATAATATATAATAATATAAATATACATATGTATGTATTTACTGCTAGGAGCTATGCCGGCATAGCGGTATAATTGTAATGACTACTCGTACTCGTGTGAAACTAGTAAACAACAACAACAAAAACAAAAAATATACACCCAAAAGACTATGCCAACAAGAGAAAGCAAAATATACATAAGTATACAAGCATAGAAGACGCAAAGTAATGTAAACAAAAAATTAAAATACACTAACTAATTAAATTATTAATTGTTTAGAAACTCAGCTCACAATGTAACTACCAAACTACAATAATAATGTTTTTTTTGTAAAGGTTTTCTTTTTTAAAACTTTGACTCCATACAAACATTAATATTATATATATATATGTATACAGAAGCAGTTGCATACTTAAATATCACATGCAATATATACTGCATACCCACGTACATACATGCATACATAATATATATGGATTTACTAAACAAAACTATATACATGTGCATTTAGCGTTTAAGCGACAACAAAAAATGTTAGTAAAACAAAAGTAAAAGAGAAAAAATAGAAATAAAATACCAAAAATTTATAGAAAAGCTATTAAATTAGCGAGTTGGCATAAATTACAAAAACACAGTTGTATTTGTATTGAACTCGTTAGTTTGCGAATTTGTATAGGGGTAGATATTTTGGAAATAATATAAATTATATATAGAAATTTTGAATTATAATTACATTTTAAATACATAAGCTACATTTTATATACATGTGTACATAAATACAAACTCTCAAATTAACCAGTCAAATATAAATACAGCACAAAATCGCATTAATTGTACTGATAATATATAATATATATATGCAAAATAATAAAATATCATTCTTTTATATAAATCAATGTGTGTTCCAGCTAATCTTACAGTTAATTACTATGTAAACATTTTTTTTGTAAAAAAAAATATTGAATATTAACGAAATACAAAATACGACACACTGTTGTACATACAAAAAAGTCAACGATGTCTCAATACTTTATTTAATACCGTAATTGCCCATCAAACAATTATAATATAGATTTATTACCCTCCCTATGCAGTGTGAGTTACATTCAATATTCTATTTTGATATGCTGCATTTCAGATCGACAAAGCACCAAAATTCATACCACAAACTGAATGTTCTTAATCAAGAATATTTGTTCCCAAAATATCAATAGAAAACTGGATCCTAATGGGCATATGGTTATTACTTATTGAAAATCGAAACCCATAAAAAGAACTATACATATACCTTGAACTTGCTATTATTACATAATGCTATCTTTTTCTATTGGAATAAAATGTAAAATTTAATTCAACTTTTCGAGAATTTGCCACTCTGTTCAATATTTAATTATTTTTTGGGGGAATTTAAAACATCAGCATCTCTAATTGTTTGAATGGTAAGGTCAGAAAAAATAGAAATGGAGAGCTAATTATTATATTACTCAGATTTTCCATTAAAAAAGCATGAGTTCATCAGTTGTCCCTAGTGCACTGTCAAATAGTGTTATAATACTCGTATAGCAAGTATGACTGCAATTTTTATAAAGGGTAGCTCAATGACACGCAAGTTCATACCATACAAAAAATAAAGTAATAAAGTAATAAATTACAGAAGGCAGAGGAAAATAAATAATCATTACACATTGAATATTTATTACAAGTACTTTTAAAAAATCAAAAAAACTTACGGACATACATAAGTAACATATTCAAAAACATTTACAAATATGAGTTACAAATTATATTATGGTTAGCTGTATTCAATGATAGGCCAGTGCAGAAACCTTTGAAAATGGTAAGAAGTGAAAAAAGTGATACTAAGTGATAAAAGTGAAACCTATTGTAAAAGGTAGAATAAGTAGAAAAAAAAAAATTTCGAGCAATCTGTGGTCGGAAAGAGGAGGAGGAGAGGGGTGATTGAATTTTTAAGCGTTAAATACGGTTTATCTTGATATCCGGCAAAATTGCGAATCCTATGGAAAAAAGTTGAATAGTTATAGGTAATAAAACCTAGTTTAAAAAAAAGCATAACCTCTATAATATAATCGAGGTTTTGGATTATATTTATCTTTACAATTTTTTTTAAAGAAATTTAGTGTACTTACCCTCTTTGTCCTGTATTTTTTTTTCTTTAATATACTTATTTTTTCACATTTTTTTTACTTAATATCACAATTCTCAATCGAAAATTCTCACGTTAAAATATCAGCCTTTTTAAATTTGGTGACTGTATGTTTGTTGAGATGTCTATTTACTGATTATATAAAGAAATAATACATTGCTATGGTAAATTATTGCAACGAATACAAAAAAACGTCACTAAACCATTCAAAGCTGTTTTTTTTTATTTATTTCATCTACCTGTTATTTCGTATTTACAGCTGTAAAAAAACAGTCTTAAACCCCGCCAGAGTGGATTAAGTTTATGCAACAAAATTACCGCAGACTTTGAAACACACGAAAACTAATAATTAAAAACGCAGTAAACAGAGTTGACTTTGGAAAGACCAATAAGAACAGTCAGTTCTAAATAAAGTGTAATAAACGAAAATTATTTAAAATATACATACAGCAAATAGAGAAGGATTTTGCAGATTTTCTTAGTTTTTCAATATTTACACATTGACAATATTTACACATGACAGAAGTTGGCGCTCCCTGTATAGTTTTTCAGTTCTCTAATAATATTTGATACAATGGATTGAATAGCTTAGGAAGCGAAGCTGTTGATATTCTTAAAATTTTTTTGCAAATTAATTTTCATACTAAAAGTGTTATAAAATAAATTTTAACGACATTTGATAATATATACACACACATCAACCTTTTGATTTTAGACACCTTTTCGAAACGCAAAATAAAATTATTTAGTAATTTCATTCTTAACTTCTTTAATTCTTTAATAAAATTATATTCCAGATTCGTATTGTTTACTTTATTGCTTAAATGAAGAGAAAGCTCTAAATACACATACACAAATCTTTAAATGACAATTATAATTCCTTTCTCTCACTTCTACTCCTCACTTCTCTGTCACTCCTTTCAATTGCTATTGTAATCATATGTATTTATTTTGTTTTGTTGTTGCACTATTTTTATATAATTTATAATCTGTATAGAAATAAATTTTTATTTACAACTATTTTATCACGAGCTTTTTATTTACTAGTAAATATCTATATACATATACATATGAATGTTTGTATGCATAAATATAATTTTAATGCTTTATTTAAATTTAATATTATTTATAACATATATGCTCTGCTTATTGATAAACAAGTATCCTAAAACTTTACTTAGTTATATAAAACTGGCAATAAAAGTGACTTTTTCATATTTTTATATAAGTTCTTGGTTGTTCTATTTAATTCAGTTCAATGTCTTTATATTATATTATATTATCTATATAGCTCGATTACCGAACCAGTTATGATTTAAATAATTAATTTGTGCGACTGGGAAAATAGGGCAATTCATTAATTTTGTCCGTGTACAATAATGCTGAAATTGGCTGGAAGCCTAGGGCATTTCGTATTTGGTTGCAGTTAGTATATGAAATCTAACTCTTAGTATACATATTTTATTATTATTAAATACTTACATTAAAATGAAATCATCACTGGTATTATTAATATTACCGTTTCTGAGACATTTTTTTAATATTTTTTTCCATAAGAACCTTCTACAGAGTATTAGAGTCAAGTTATGGAGTGACAACGGGAAACGGGTTTCATTTTTATATATTATATATAGATAGAAGATATATTTTTATATTTGATTAGATGGGTATAATATTTTATTTTAGCTAATTTTTCTTAACCCTTTCATACTCGTTTTGAAACAAGTAAAACCTCTGTAAAAATATAGAAAATATACAGGATTTAGCACATGAATAGCATGTCTGATCAAATTTGACTCGGGCTGACAAAAAAAACACTGTTTTCACGTATTTTAATACAAATATTTATTATCGACTTCAAAATAGACTCCTTTTCAGCCAATACAAGCGTTGCTTCACTTAGACGCCTCGGCCAAGTAGTATTCCTTATTGACCGTTTGACCCTTTGGAACGAATCATGATGAACCACACCACGGTAATCAAGGAAAACCATTCCCTTCATTTTAAACCGACTATGACGTGGTTTCGGCTAATTTTGGAAGGGCTATTCGCTAGATTGTTGGACAATTTTGACATCATATTCATAAACCCACGTTTCGTCACTAGTAATGATGCGCTTGATGAACCCAAAGATTCAGATCTTTTCACAAGAGTCCTAGCATCTCCGCAACCAAAACAGTAACCAAGTCGTTGAGTCGATATATAAGAGATGTTCAGATCATCTGCTCTGCTCTGATGTCAACCGGCTCTGTTTCTTCAACGCTTTAATGGGCAAATTCGATTTAATCAGTAATTTTGATCAGATGGTGTATCAATAATCCGACATTTTTGCTAATTTTAAGACTTTTTACTTTTTCGATGACTCAGCCGCAAACAGATTAGATTAAAAAAACACTTAAAAATAGGTATTATCAAACTTTCATAGTAGTCATAAACGAAGCCTTCGTCTACTTTCGTTTATGACGTCAGGAACTGAAGTATTTTTCTCTCAAACGTACTCCAAAACAAGTAACGGAAAGAAAGTAACACCTGACTATATAAAAGATAACCAAAAAATCAGCTCTTCTAGTTCGAATTATGATAATTTTAAAAAAAGAAAATGAGAACAGAATCAAAATGACAAAACACGGGTTTCATATCATATAATATATGCAGTTGGTGAGAGGGTGAAGTTTTTGCTCTAGGTTATTATTCCTGCTTATGTATATGTAACTTTTAGAAAGTTACGAAGTGTGAGGCATGGAACAACTGCTTCAATCAAAAAATTTAAAGTACCTATCTTTTGGTTGCTACGATAGTGGTCTCCTATATATTGATCTAGAGCTTGTTATTTTCATTTAACAAGAGATATATGTGAGATATCAAAGGAATTTTTCAACTGATGTTTTAAAGGTTTAACAAAGTATTGAGAAATGAAATGATTTTGTTGTCGATTTACCAAACGCTGGAGATTAACGATTCGAAAAAACAACTGGTATAAATCTAATATACTGGCATAATTAAATAGAGAAGCAAGCAGTTCTACCTATCTCATACTCTCTTCTACTGAATTCAAAGGGATGACAGTGTTGCTTTCTCGCATAAATTTTTTGGCAAGAGAGAAAGTTAAACATACTGAGCAGCGAAATAGTGATTTAAAAAAAAATTTAATTCTCTATCTATTTGAGGTACAGTTTTTTAATAATGATTGATAAAAAAACTCAAGAGGAAAAAACGTTTTCGTTTTTCACGCCTAGAAGTAGAATAAACCATCCGACTGATCAATACTTTACCCTTCTTATATGGTCTCTCAACGATCATAGAACTCTCTTATAATACTTTAAAGATAATTTATTTTTATTTTATTATTTTTTTAGTAAACTTTTGTACTAAAGAATTTTTAGTGCGACATCTGTGTAACTACAAAAAAAAGTACATTTATCAAGAAATAAGTATTTATGAATGCAAAATAATTCTGCTAAAAATAAAATTTAAATAGAAGTCATAAAACAAAAATCGTATATGCATAGTTACATATTTATTAGCCACACTGTGTCAATAAACATGCAAAGATGCTTCAAAGCATAAACTTTTAAACAACTTATCAAATAAATATTAAATAAAATAAATAAATACTTTTCATGCCGTAAATACATACATACATACATACATATGAGTATATAAATATAAATAAAAACATAGATATAGAATTTTTAGTCCATAAATAAAAAGAAAATGACTTCATTCAAATATTTTGTGTAATACACGTTCATACATATTAATTACTTAGTACATACTTATATTGAATCAATATAAAAATACAAATACAAGAAATACATATGTGCTGTACTAGTTTAATTTAAGAGAACCACGCAAAAGCTGAATTATTTAAAAACGTAACATAATAAGAATATAATTAATAATATAAAAATAAAAAGTACGGAAACTTTATTATAGCGAGACTAGGAGGAGCAAGATTGTAAGATGTGCGAAGAATTTAGTATGAAATAAACAATGAAAAATAAAAAATATTATGTATTTAACAATGGACTTTTAAGTTTTTTTCTTTAATTTTGTCAAAACTCGAGTCTCTTATTGAAAGTTAATTGAGATTTTTTCTCTTTACAAAATGGTAATTTTACAAATTTTGAATGGAAAAAAAATCCCTTGAGGTAAATATTTTTTAGGAAGTATTATGCTTTACAGGAATCCGGGATCTAAAATTTAATTTTAATTTTATTCTAGAGGCTTCAAAAGTTTTGATACTAATGATGAAATCGGTACATCCTCCAATTCAGGCACAAAAAAGTAATTAATCATGCCTCAATAGCATTCCCAATTGACTGTTAAGGCCGTACGTGATGGCGTCTCAACAGCTTGTGAATAATCCACAATCCATCACTACAAATGCTTCAATTTTGTTCATTAACGTACCCATTCAATCAAAAGTGAGCTTCATCGCTGAACAATATTTTCTTTTCGAACATACGACGCGCTTAATGGTTGATCGGCTTAACTATTGCACGAGTTGGATTTTTTAAGCCCGCAAACCAAGATCCTTCCGTAAATTTTCCTCTGCTGTGCGATTATGTCGACACCTTCAAAGCTTATAATTATCAAAAATTTTGTATAAACGGTTAAAAATTTATAGTATTTTTAATGCAAATATTTAGATTTTTTACCTGTCATTTATATGGGAAACTTTGAATGCTCACCGAAACATTTTAAAATGAAGATAAACAACCCGCCTTACAGGGATATTTTTTTTCGGATTTTCACAACCGGATCAGACTTCAATTTTTATACAATTCGCAGCCGCAACAACACTCAAACTTTCCGACACTTTAAAAAATATAGAGTCTGTCATTTATGTTATTTGCTATAGAAATTGTAAGGTTTTACTAAAGTTTATTAGAAGTTATAGAAGAAGCATTAAAGAAGAGAAAGAACAAATTTCCCAAAGGACGATTATTAGCCTCAACAGATTTGTGATTGAGTAAAAGCGCTTTGTAGGCACAGAATGATCTTTTGGCTCTGATTATTAGCAAATAAGGAGTTGTGGCATAAAAATTCATTGATTACAATGTTATATCATAAAAGCAAGCTACTACTAGGAGGCCACTACTTGAATATAAGAAGTTATTTGCCCTACAGAAGTATGAAGTGTTCTTAAATTTTATAAAGGGCATGTCATGGCATTCAAATTCATCCCTAATCCAATTTTCCACACACTTATCATAAGCCTCGTCTGGGATGGCCTGATCATGTAAATTTTGGGTTTTTCGGTTTCTTCGTTAGATTGTTAAACAGTTTCGACATATTATTCATAAACCAGTAATGATGCGATGATAAATGTAGGCTCTTCAGCTAAGTTTTCGTTTTTACAAAAGTCTGTTTATGATAAAGTAGACTACTCAAAACACTTCTACAACATATTTTAAGGTCTTTGTAGCCGTAATTTCATCAAAATCCATCCCAAAATTTCAGGTAAATTCGTTGTTCAATATTTGTATGCCCTGTGGTGATTTCACTTAGTTGCGTTTGGTAACACATTCATTCGCACTTTTCAGTTAGTTAATTAAAAAATGTAAATTTTATAAAAAATTTTAGAAATCAATTATATTTCACTTTTTTTTAAACTAATTTATAATATGTACTCTACTTTATTTATAATTAATCCTGTTTGATTATTCTTATTTAATTTTCTGGATACACACACACGTCGAAACTAACTTGCGCGAACGGTCGGCTGGCGGAATCATCTAGGTTACGGGTAAATATCGCAAAAGGGACCCATCCCGGTCTAACTGATCCTTTTTGATCCGTTGGGTGGTGGATAACCATGGGCTGAAGTGTTGGTGTTTAGTGTGGTTGGTTATTTGTAGGATGTGTTGTGGTTGTGTTTGGTGGGTAATATGGTGTGTTGTGTTATACGGTGAGTTGTGTGCGATGCGTGTTTTAATGAGGAATGTGTGCTGCGTAGAGGAATGGTTGGAAATATCGCAGGTTCAGAGGTCGCTTGAACCCCCTGAAAAAGTATATTAAGTTTGTCATGATGTTTGTAACACCCAAAAAGAAACGTCGGAGACTCTTTAAAATAAATATAAATGGTCAACATGATGAACTAAGTCGATTGAGCCATGTTCGTTGTCCGTCCGTCCATCTATCTGTATGAACATACGTTTTTGAGACATCGATTCGAAATTTTGCACACGTCTTTTTTTCCCAAGAAGTCGGAATTGCTCATGTCGGACCCTATGGCATATAGCTGACATACAATCTGAACAGTACAAGAAATGTCCTTGTATGGGAATTTTTTTTTTTAATGAGATATCTTCACGAAATTTGACACAGATTATTGTGTAAGGTATATTCCCCGAAGAAATTGTTCAGATCGGAGTATTATAGCATATAGCTGCCATACAAAATGACCGATCAAAATCAAATTCTAGTATATAATATAATTTTTGTAAATGGTTGTTGTTGTTGTAACGGTTATCTAGTCCTCGATTGGGTGGTAAGCAAAGAGGTGGTTAGTGTCATGCGGAGACTCATTGCATGGAGGAAATATATTTGGTATGTCGGGGTCGAATCTGGACCTCTACCTGCTACAGTATCCAGAACGAAGTGCCGCGAGGGTCACTCTAGATTTACGAGGCAACTTGAGCTCTACGTCTGCGATAGGTGGTGGTTTAACCTAGTACGCCATTCACTGAGAGGGAGTCGGTAAAGTTCGTTGCGTCGGAAGTCCGGTCGGCGTACTGTCTAATGTCGTCGACGTAATCAAGGAAGGACCACTTGATGTTCGTAGCAGGCGGTTCTGCTTCAAGCAGACAGCTGCAGGGGTGGTTTCTAACATCCCAACAGAAACTGCTTGGAGAGGAGCTCGTTATGTTCCTTAACCGGAAACATGCGGGCTTCACTATTCAGGTGTTCTATTGGGGACATCAAGAGACATCCCGTGATAGTCCGGAGTGCAGTGTTTTGACAAGTCTGAAGCTTCTTTGTCTGCGTTGCACCACATCCAGGCGACCGTGTTGGAGCAGCATAGTTTAAGACTGGCGGGCCGATTGCCGGCAAGAGATTTCAGTTTTGTTTGAGGAGGTTTTGTTGCTGCTCTGTACTTTGGCAGTTATCGCTGTCGTGTGTAGCGTCTAAAATTTTAGGGTTGTTAAGTGTCGGAATTTTAATGCCATCGACTGAAATATCTAGATGCAGTCTGTACTCCTTAGTCCAGTTTGTAAAATGGTCGCTGTTGATTTAGTGGTGGATAGTACCACGCTCCTTGCAGAAAATACGTATATATCGTGAAATACATAGAAATTAAACAGTAGCGGAGAAAGGACACCGCCCTATGGAACCCCCTGTTTAATTCTTATGAGTTTAGAGTTTCGACCTCTAAACAGTACTGATGAATATCGACCGCTCAGGTAGTTCATAGTCCACCGCTTCAGCCCTGGATGGAGCGTGGATTGTTCTATCTCCTCAAGTAGCGTTGTGTGGTTGACTGTGTCAAAAGCTTTTGATAAGTCCAACGCTACGAGGATCGTCCTCTCGCAGGGTGGCTTCTGATTAAGGCCATGAACTATCTGGACGTTTATGACGCCAAGTGCTGTGGTGGGGCTGCGGACTTTTCGGAAGCCATGCTGATGGTCAAGTTTCTTCACTACTGGGGAAAGGACCGTTATCGGACGATAAGACTCAACTTTGTTGGCGAGTTTCCCCTGGTTTCAGTAGTGGGACCACTCTTTCGACATTCGACACATCGGGTATTTGAAAAATGGTCATCGACAAGCTGAGGATTTTGGTGAGATAGCTTACTCCCGTCGAGCCTAGGTGTTTTAGCATCAGCATGCTTACTCCGTCAGGGTCAATGGATTTGGACGATTTGGACTTGTTGATGGGACTCTGAACCTCCCCATCGGTCTTTTGGCATTTTGCGCAGCCGTCGGGTAACACATCGTTTGGTCTTGTCAAAGGGTGCAGTGTAAATTGCCTGCTTAAATATGGCCACTGAATTGAACTTCAACTCGGTTGTCATGTCTCCTCGGATTAGACAAGGCCTTGACAGTAGTTCAAAGTTTATTCACACCGGTGGAGAGGTTACAGGACTTCAGATGCTCTATTCATTTTGTCCGCTTATGCTAATTTACCATTTATCGAATCTCCAAATTGAGATCTCTTATTTGAGTATCACAGAGATCGGCATGGTGTAAGGTGTCGCGCTCGTTCGCTAATACAGCTGCTTCGGCTGGGAAATTAGGGCGGTTCCGCGATTCTTCCAGCCGGTATGAAGCGAGCAGTAGCAGCAGTAATCACCTTGCGGAATTGATGCTCGCCAACGATGCCTTCCGTAGGAATAGGAAGTGCGGTGAAGGTGCTCTCGGTAAATTCTGTGAAGCTTTATTTAAGTTAACAAAGGTGCGGTTATTCACAGAAATAAAATCGTGAGGTTTCTGGTCTGATGCGAGAGTAAGCATATGTCGCCAGGTTATGCTATTTATCAGACTACCGCTAGCGATGGTAATATCTGGCGAGCTATTACAGGCGCCCATAATTCTGGTAGGGGCTTCGTCATTCATTGTGCACAATTCGCCATCAATTATGTCAATCTGTTCCGCCAGCTCCATACCCTACGATCGTTTGACAGGCAGGAGTCCCAAAGATCATGGTGCGCATTAAAATCGGCTAGCACCAAATGGTTTTCACCACGAAGTAGCGCACCTATGTTCGGGTGATATCCTGTGGGGCAACATGTAACTGGGGTAATGTAAATATTAAATATTTCGAGCTCGACATCGCCCGACCGAACAGCTATACCCTGACATTCAAGGGTAGTGTCCCTGCGGTCGATGTCAATATCGATTAGACGACATTGCACGGTGTTTTGCAGTATGAGGGCTAGGCCTCCACCGTTATCTCGCTCGCGATCTTTACGTAAAACGTTGAAACCTGCACAACTCAGAAGATTTGAGCGGCTGTTTAGCTTCGTTTCTTGGACTGCAGCTACCGATACGCGTTCCCGGCTTATAAATGCAACTTTCCCCTCGATCTTACTCTGAAGTCCGTTGCAGATAAATTGTAGAAGTCGCATTTGTTTCGGCGGTCCGGTGGTGATCCTGGGGGTGAGGGAGGTACGTGTAGGTGGTGGTTGTTGCAGCTGTAATACCCGCATGGGTGATGTTTGGGGACGCCACTATATGCGATTGCGGGTGCAGACTCCTACAGCACGGGGCAATGTACGACGCACTCCACTCACGTTTAGTGCGCAGGCCGGAACACGACAGAAAGTAACACCAGCCAGTACAAGAATTGCACTTGACTGATGTGACGTTCCGGCGTATTACGGTCTGACACACGGAACAGACTGTGCGAGGAACCAGGAGTTGCTGCATGGTTCTCGCACGAGGTTTGGAGCGGGATAAAGGTTGGGAGGAGATTGGTCAGACTGGAAGTCATGCTGCCTGTGGGAGCTCATTTCGTGGCCACTCGACTGGAGTGGCGGCGCAGTGTGCGAACAGAGTGCAGGTTGCACAGCCGTTGAGACAGTTGTTGCAGTAGTGCAGCATGGGTCCACGTAGCTCGTGGTCTAATCCCTAAAATGGATTGAGCCTTTTATCGCATATGCAGCAGAAGAATTACTCAGGATCCGGGTTGAACTCGATGCCAGCACGAGTCAGGAGGATACGATATGATATATGTATGAAGATCAAAATTCACAAAAACATAAAAAGGTTGTACAAATCTGGGAAATTTTTATTTATCGATTTGATTGGCGCGCGTAATTTAAAAGGACCAGTCCAGGTGTAACTGGTATGTCATTTGTTGAGTCTTTATTTCACTAGCTTCTCAACTTTTTGAGCTTTAAAACCTAATGAACATTGTGTTTAAGTTTTTTCAATATTACCAGCGATATTCAGTTTAAAGATCTTCTAGACACATCATAAAGATACAAATCTATCGCTATATACTTGTACATATGTAGTAAACACACATATTTTGGAAGACACTTTGCTCTTAAGATCGAAAATAAATATCTGTATAGTTAGATATAATTAGTTAGTTCGGATTCTTCAACTAAGGGTTTACTATTCTCCTATTCCTAATCATAGGCTTTGGGAATCATATGGGGCGTTTGACTCCAATTATTACAAAAATAGTTTTGAAATTTGCTTAACCATGTGTTGATAATATGATCCAAGGAGATGTGTCTGTTTAACTTTTATTCCTTATGGTTATGAGCTACCTCAGCTCGGCCTACCACTGCTCAATACCTTAGAAACGGACATGTTTTAATTTTTTATTCAAAATATTAAAGCACACATTAATGATTTTAGAAAAATATTAAACGTTGAACCACAACGGCGTTCGTCCACAATTCGTGATTCGTGTTGTCGCCGGTTTTCCCGTATAATGTATAATACACTCAGCACCATTATTTTCAAACGTGCGTTCGCCAATTTTATACTCTGGATTGATGGCGACACGAAGAATATAATATTGATTTATCGGTAAGCCGGTCACATCGACCCATTGGCAATCCAAGTCAGCGGTATACAAATCAGCGCAGCCAATAGAAATGCCTACCATGTCGAAAAAGTTTATAAAAGTCCATCGAAAAAACTTAAAATTCTATTAACAAATACCTTGCGTCTCATTTCCGCAGGTGTATTTGGGTCTGACTCCCGGCACACAATTTGTGTCCATCAGACAGAAAGAAGCTTTGTGTCCCTGTGCCACTTTCTTGTAACGCAAATCGTACACATCAAAAGTCGCAAATACATTCATGCTATGATAGTGTTCATGGCACTGATGCCACTCCCAGTCTTTATAGTTCGCGTACGGGCTGAAATCCGCGTCGCCCACATTTTCCGCCTTGGTTGTGAACCGCAATAGCTTACGTATGGCATTCGGTTGTTTGAGTCGTATGACATAAGCGTCGGCCGAGACGCAATTCTCCTCCATAGCACATTGAAGACGAGTCATCGGCGCCAAATCGAGACGTGCTGAGGTCTCAATATCACGCAGACCCAAAGTCAAATCGGCGCTCTGCGGCACACAACGTACAACGGCTACATTCAGATTGCCGGCCGTACAATTTCGTGGGTAGGTAGCCTCACGCAAACAGTTCGAAAGACGATGCTCATTACCACGACAGAGTGTGCCGATCATGCTCCAAGGATACTTTTTGCTGTCACCGAAGGTAGTTGTTTGATTAATCATGGCCGCGTAACCGAGACCGAGTTGTCGACATACCACATTGCCCTCACGAAAACTCCAAGCTGAACTGCAAAGTGTACCCCATCTGGCGCCGTGATCAAAACTCACCTCCACACGTCCCTCGCGCGGATTTCTTATGGGGTTGTTAGACGTTATTCTGACCTTCATATTTTGGAACTTACTCGATAGCGCTATGCGGAGTTAAGAGGTAATAGATTGAGTTAATCTAGCTGTAGTATTAGATACTGTTTAATTTACCTTGTGGATCTACATTGGTGCGTATAAGTAATACAATGACTACTATCGTTATAAATCGAGAACACGGGTTAAGATGTTTCATTGCTTACTGTGTGACCTGTACTTAACAACTGGCGAATACAAACTGTCACGGAAGTTCAATGACTCGTATCTTAAAGGTGTTTTGTGCGCTGCGACGAAGTTCATACAATGCGACTTTTGTAAGGCCTTTTCTTAATAGCATTGTTGTTTTGTGGCAAAATAAATTTAAGGCGGAGTCTTATGTTCACAATAAATATAAATGAAAGCATAATAGTTTCGGCTCAAGACTGACTAATATAATATATAACAATTAATTCAAAATGTTCACACGTGTTTAGCGTACAGCATTTTGCACAAAATTGAGATCATCAGAACCACTAATTGAAACCAAGAAACAGTCGTCAGACATTGTAGTCAAGCCGCTTGTTCTAAGCAATCAGACCTCCACCATAGCTGTGTAAGGTGTCGCTTGACCATTTAGTTCAGGATCAGTTTGGAATGTGGAACAAACCATTATTGACATCCAAAGAAAAAAATGTATTTATTATCTATGCTTTTAATGGCTGACAAAACAGTGTGAATTTCCGTGTATATTCAAAGGCGGCTCTCTATACATCTTCACAACGTGCAAAGAAGCTGACATATAAAAAGTGATTTCTGATCCATTACCGTTCTACTTGTATACTAGGGTTCGGATAACGATTTTATCTGAACTTTACTACGAGTACCTTAGTGCATATATTGTAGTTTGTTAGTTTAAGTTAAGTATAGCTTCGTTGCAGCCGAAGTTACCGTAAATAGAACAACAAAAACATAAACAGTAAAGAAGTTAATTGCGGGTTTGAGATCCCTCCTGGGATACACTCTCAGCTATATCATTCCCAATGCATCCTCTAGAATGAACATTCCGAAACTGTCTTTTGGGAATTATGTAAAATATGTTACTTTAAATTGACTAAAACTAACTAATTTTAAACTTAAGTGTACTGTGGATCCGCATTTAAATCCGAGAATAATACAGCTAAGTGCTGCTACAATAAAACCTGTTCATTTAGAGGGTTAGACCAATCTAGGATTTTCGAAAGCGGTTATTTTAGGTTTAAAGTACGGTTTAGGGTTATAAATACATTACTCAATTGGTAGAAAATCAAAATGCTCCCATGTCCTGTAGTGTAGCATCGCCACCTAAATTTCAACTACAGTTTCACAACAACACATAGTTATCATTGAAATCCACGTTTGTTGTCATTGAAATTATTTAGAATTATTATAATTTTTGTTTTAAATAGCATGAACAGAGTAACCGTTGCCCGCCCAGGCGTTCTAGGACATGGTGATTTCAAAAATGACCCTCTAGCCACCATTTTTGATACAAAGTGTCAACATAAACTGTTTTTTAAGTATTCAAAAACACGTTTAATAAAGCTTAATAAAAGCAATTCGTTTCCTTTTTTCCTAAATAAATTGCTAAACACAAAAATTATTAGAGTTATAGAGTGGTCTAACACCTTAACTGAATCTCTATAAGCATAAAGTAGTTTACTTAAAGAAGGTAACAATAACTATATCTCTGAAATTATTATGAGATATTTTTTCACTTATAGTTCTTTTTCGCTTTTAATGCCATAAATTATACGTCTTTTTTGTTTCGTTTTATTGATGTGGAGCAACAATTAGGCGGATTCTGTGTTTACATATCACAACTTAAAGCTAAGAAATTCACTGACATTTGCATAGCATTTACAAATTTTGTATTTGTTATAAAATCAAGTAAAATAATAATTAAAAAAGTATTATGTACGCACATAATGGAAGCGTAACAAGCAGGCACCTTCACTAAACAAAGGCCATATTTTATATAAGTTATATTATTTTAATATACTTTTATTACAAAAAAATTCACACCCCCAACACGGCGTTAATCTCATGCTTAAGATGCTGTGGACTGAAGACACCACGCTCCGTTATAATACCCGAAATAAGCGCAGCTGGTGTGACATCGAAAGCTGGATTCCAACAGTTGATGCCTGCAAATGTTGCAAAAATTATTTATAGGCACCTTAAATTTGTTTTTAAATAAAATAAAATGTATATTTACCTGGCGCTGCTATTCTGTGCTCGCCCACATGTGTCATCTCGCGATCCGGCCGCTCCTCGATGATAATGTGATCGCCGCTCGGTATTTGCAAATCAATCGATGTCAGGGGCGCGGCGACAAAGAAAGGCACACCGTGATGCTTGGCCACAACGGCAATTTGATAAGTACCAATTTTGTTGGCCGTATCCCCGTTGGCAGCCACCTGTCACACAAGCGAGGTAAAAAAGTTAAATTTAATGTGTAATTAGCATTTAAGACGCCCACACATGCTTGCGGCGTTATACGCTGGCGATATTTATATGCAACGCAACGCAGCGCCTGCACTCACCCGATCAGCGCCAACGACGACGGCTGCAATATTTTTGGCACGCATCAACGCCGCCACCATGCTGTCCAAGACTAGTGTGGCCGGAAGTTTATCGTGCACCAGCTCGTAGGCGGTTAGGCGTGCGCCTTGATTATATGGACGTGTCTCCGTGCAGTAGACGTGCTCTAAGCGTTTTGAGGGAGAGAGAGAGAGAAATAGAGAGATAGTAAGAGGTTAGCATAAGGGGTAATACGTTGACACCAAATTCATGTTGCGGAATGCAAATTAGTGTTGAATTTTAATAGAATTCAGTGCGAGGCGATCAAGAGAGAAGATAAACAAATATATTTGTACACAAGACTAAATGATTATGCATTTATTTTATTTTTTTGTTTGCTTTGACTAAAAATACAACGTAATATTTGCACTGTACATAATATGTACAATTCTAAAAATATGCAAAAAAAAATCTTTAAAAGATAAGTTGTCTATTAGGAAACATTTTAGAATCACTATGGTTGTTTTCTTTGGATATCTAAAGCTATCGCCCGATCTACCATTAATTTGACTCAACTTCAGTTCTCCTTAATGTGTTCGTTGCGATATTGTTTCTTCTGAGTTAGTTAACCACGAAGCCCAGCTTTTTTCTTTTTAAGGCTTTTCTTGAACATAAATTTTTCAATTTCCTAGAACTTCGTGTTTTGGACCTAACTTTCATCTTATTAAACTGAAAAGAAGTTTTATGAGAAGTGTTGACCTTTTTACTTTTTTGAATAGTTACAATATAAAGTAGGAAAAGTTTTGTCGAAAACCAGGTCTTTCTTAAGTCTACATTTTTTTTAAGAATGAAAATATCAAGAATAACAAATTCAATTAGAAAACCTAAAAGAAAAAGAGCTGAAGCATTGAAAAAAGTGAACTGAGGAAATACCATTAAGCGTTAAGAGTAACATACTAAAATTTTAAATCGATATCTCAAATATTTTTGCGTTAAAGCTTTGTAAAGAGTATAAGCTTAGTTCAGTCAATTCCATCAATTTATCTTTAAACGCGTTTTTCTCAAAACTAATTTTTCATATTTGCTTGAGTGATTACTAACAAATGCTCAGATCACTATGCAATTTTTTCTGTATGTTCTGTATATAGTTCGCTTTTGCAGGCCGAAAACGACCAAAGTTTTGAGTAGAACTCAACTTATCTTAAATTAACGTGGCCGGACCTTCTGAAAGTGGAAAGAAATGTTTTTCTTAAACAATTTTACTTTTTTTCTAAAAGTTTTTATAAATATCCCGTTAAAATTTTAAAACAATTGATTGGTTTTTTTTTAATTCACATTAATCGCCGTTTTTATACTGCCATACTAGATGTGCCCCTACTCGATCAATTTTTAATGATTTGATTCTGTATTTTAAAAGCACAGAACTTTCCAAACAACGCACACTATTAAAAAATTGGTTTAACTCACCTAATTTTTTAAGTTCATGCAACTTCCGCACCACACCCAATGCTGTGCCATAGCCCGCAGTAGCTAAGGAGCCGGTATTGCAATGTGTCAGCACACGTACAGATGTATCTTTTCCGCTAACATCCAAAATAGCAGCGGCGCCATTTGTGCCAATCGCTTTATTGTCGGCAATGTCTTTCTGTAGCATCGCTTCGGTGGCAGCCAAAAATCTAAAGAATCGAAAATTAACTAGAAATAATTAAGAATTTTATGTATCTTCTCTACGTACCTCTGTTTCATTTCTTGTACATCAATCGCTTCGTCTTTCGTCAGCTCATTGGCTAGAGCGATTAGCTCATCGGCGGCAATTTTCATGTTCACAGCTGTGGGACGCGCCGATACCAGGTAATTCAGTTTGCCCTCGATCTCTTGTCTCAGCGACTTTTTGGAATCAAATTGTTCGGGTAAAATTTCCACAGCCAAGGAGAGACAACCCACAATGGCGATGGCTGGTGCGCCCCGAACCTGTTAAGATTATAGAATGGGGTTTAGAACATTTTCAAAAGAAATGAGTGTGTTTTGAATTAGCAATGTATTTTATTAAATCTAAAACAAATCGAAAATTATAAAAGAAAATTTATTCCGAATCCGCAAACAAGTGGGCTTTCTGAACAACTAGCACTCTGCAGTTCTGTTATGGTTCTGTTATAAATTCTGTTTCTGTTCCTGTTTTAACTGACGTTTTCCAATATATAAACGATGGAAATTAGACAAAATAAAAAACACCAAATTATTAATTTAAAATCAAATTATTAGAAAAAATAATATATTTTAAATATTTAGTCAGAAACAGCCGATTAGTTTTTTCGCGAATAACGAGTTCTATCCGAGAATTAGACATTGTCTTCTTCTGTCTTCCGAGAAGTGTTTGCTTTGCAGTTGTACAGCTTTCTTACTAATTCTACTGAAATATATTTTAATTTTTATTTAGCTTCCTGGATAGAGAATCTAATACTAGAAGAAAAAATATATTTATATGACAATGATATTGAATTCTTTTTACTTTTTACGTGTAAGTTATACCAAAAAACAACAATTTCGCATATATTTTTTAGTAACGGGTGTTTTTTAGACGTGTGGCAATGAGATTTTTCCGGAATTGATGTCTACGCAGATAAGCGCGAAACGTTTGACGCCTTGAAAGAGAATATTCGGCGCGTTATTGCTGACATACGGTCCCAGTAGCTGTAAAAAGTGGTAGAAACTTGGGCCGCTTGGCTGAAATTTATTCAAGCCAGTCACTTGCCCGAAATCATTTTAAAACAAGCTTTTTATACAACCTCTTTATTATTATTAATTTTATTTTTTCTTGCAAGCCACATTTTTTAAAAACACGCGTTACTAAGAAGCTAATTATGTAATGCATTGAGTTATACCTTCAAAAATGTAAACATCTATTTTAAATGACTTTGAGTAACGAACGGCAGTCGTAGTTCAGTGGTTTGAATAAATACCTTTCGGACATGATATATATTATATATGTCGCTGAACTTTCTAGTTCTAATTAAAAACCAATAAAGACAAACTAAGCTCGAATATTTGTAGTGGGTCGATTGTACCCATTTAATAAAAATGTATCTTCACATTATTATTTGAGGATGTTAGAACAATACAAAAGAGGAAAAGATAAAAGCGAGTTTAATAGTGATCATATCGCAACATTCAATATAGTGTCTACAATGATATTTTAGACTTATAGAAATGCATCATATATAACTAAATTTGAAAACGTAACAGGCGTAAGGACGTGTGCGAAATTTCAGATTGACAACAAACGGACATGGTTAAATCGACTCAGCTCGTCACGTTGATCGTTTATATATACGAGTATGCTTTATTTGGCTTCCGTCGTTTCCTTCTGGGTCTGGCCACTTCGTGGAAAAGTTAATACTATACCCTGTTCAGATTATAAAAAAAATACTTGATAAAAATAATTCTCGGGTAAGGTGATAGATCTCCAATCATCATGCATTGAATTCGAACATGGACATTTATGGTCAAAAGCTTCTACCAACTCTTAACTACAGGTAGTTGTGATCAGTATTGCTAGCTTGGAAAAGTAAAGATAAAGTAATTAGCAACTAAAAACACTGGAAATTCAGAAACTCTTCTACAAAAAATTCAGGAATAGAACAACAAGTTCATTTTAAGAACGTTGTGATTGCCAGACTACCCAGTTGGTGGTGATTAAGTTAATCGTTGAGAGCACCGTACAAATAAAAAGGTTCAACGAAGTAGTTCACTTTAATACAATAGTGTAGAAAAGGAACAGAGTTCCGATTCTGCAGCGTTCGCCCAAATTACAATACTTTAGGGAATATCACAGAAACAACACAAGGGTACCAAGTGACGAGATTTAACTTGTCTTGGCTTGGTGTTTCGAAAGCGAAACAGAAAGTAGACATTATCGTTTCATATTTTAATGAATGTGTCGTTTTTACTTTTACAAAACATTTAATCTGCCTAACAAAGCAGCACGTAGAGATAAGTGCCATTTCTGAAACTGATAAGAATGGAAGACGACTCTGCTCTAAAAAAAAGACTGAACGACTTCAAAGTAGTTTCACAATAGCTACCTAAAAGCGCTGCACCATCCATTTCAAAAATAGCAAAACAATTGTGTTATTTGACCAGGTTATCTCTTTCCTTATCACGTTACGTAAGTTAACGCCAAACGTAAAATAAAAACATCTCTATAAAATTCCAGATCTTAATTGTATGCCAAATATTTGTCTATTTCACGTGACTAAATGATTATCTGAGGCCTGACTATCAGTGCCGCTTTGCACACTTCTCAATCGTGAATATGTTTGTTGATGTGACGACAGCATCTAACCAGCTAACCAAAATGAATACAAAAATTAACTCACATTAATATAGAAAGAAAATCAGCGGAGTAAAACAGCAACTGCCCCATTATAGATTTACATTTCGTCTTAAATACGAGGGCGGTCTGATAGTCGTAGATTTATAAGCAACCTTACCTTTTAGGAAGACGAATTTAGTTCAGTTTAAAGCACTGAACTTTTGCTTTTCAAGATAGTAAATCTTTTCAAGTACCTCACAGAAAGCTTTTCATGTTCAATTCTAAATTCTACTATAGAGGAAACATTTGCATAAAGTTTAATGTACTTGTAGAGTCCAAACTAAATGTAGTTTGCACATTGATTTCTACTGACATCACTCTTGAAACAAACGGAGCTTTTGACTTCAAATCAATAGCGAATTAGAATTCGTCAGAGAGGTTTCCAAGGAATTTGCTGATCAAAACTTATCATAAAACTACCAACGTTTGGAATTTATAAAGAATCATCAATAGCTTTAATTTTAAGAGTCATAAGACAATGTGAAAGTTCAACTGGGTTGACAAAATTCGTTTTTTTTTTAATAAACATAAGCTACATTTTTAGAGGAGTTTAAGAAATCGCTGAAACATAAGGAAACGTCATAGTTCGAGTATAGGTATACAGATGGATTTGGTTAACTCAACTCAGGTAGTTGTTAATCATTTATTTATACTCGTATATTTTACAAGGTCTCCGATGTTTTCATTCTAATTGTTACAAACTTCGGGGCAAACTTAATACACCCTATTCAGGGTATCAAAATAATTAAAAACTTCATCATTTACCATCTGTATTTGATTTTACTCATCATTGACTTATCATCAAACCCCCTTGTATGCTGTGTACCTACTCGTATATGACTGAAATTTGTGTAAACAATTACCAAAAAGCGATCTCGAGTGTGAAAGATAATGGACACTTTATAATGACTTTACGAGTATCTAAACAAAAATAAATAAATGAGTATCATAAGCTTCTAAGTATCCAGATAAGAGTATAAATATACATACCAGTATATTACAAATTCACAATTTCAAGACATATAACACAGACACGTTGTTTATCCTACGCGAATTTGAAAGTAATGCTGGCATATATAAAAAATTCCAAAAAAGAGATCACACCACAAACAAAAAATCTCTAGCACTACCTTAGGAAACAAACCTTAAAAGTATACTCTTAAATAGAGAACGAGCAGATCATATAACTCACAATACTTATATAAACAATATCAAAGTTAGACTTAGGACTTCGTGTCTTGATATTTCCCAAAAAATTTATCAAATAGATCTAAAAAATTTTGTAGTGCAGAACGTTCATAACTTCGTTCAATGTAGAAAAACTTACTGATCCATTATCCATGCAACAACGGATGAAGATGATACCTTCGAGTCAAAAGCAAATGGCAAAAGTAAATGGAGAAAATCATGGGTTAATCCGTGTGTGTTTGGTGGGATCAGAAGGGTGTGGTATATCATGAACTTCGAACACCTGGTGAAACTGTTAATACTAATCGCTACATAAAACAAATGATCAATTTGAGCCTTGCATTGGTCGAAAAACGACCAGAATGGGCCAGAAGACACGGCAAAGTAATTTGGTTACACGACAGTGCACCTGCACACAAAATAAAATCGGTTCAGGATACAGTCAAACTCGGCTGGGAGCTGCTACCCCGCCCGCCGTATTCACCAGACTTGGCACCATCCGATCAATTAGTGTGTGTTTGGCAGCTATTTGTTTACGACGTAAAAAGTTTGTCTGGCGATTTTTATCATGAAGAAAACAAATTTAACGAGTTTGCTTGAAATTTTGTGTTTCCAATGGAATCAAGGCTGCAGATTCCTTGAAAATGTTGCAGAAGTGATTTGGGGAATCTAATTTATTACAAACACAATTATTTGAGTGTTGCAAAGCATTCAGTGAAGGTCGTGAAGTCATCGAAAGCTTGCCTCATGCTAGTCGTCCATCTAACTCTGTTAAAGACGTTAACATCGAATTTTTTTTTGGTTTCGGGTTCTTTTAAGCTTAAAGTAACTGTGCTTGAAAATTGTCGCGTTGGCATTAGAGAGATAGCAGGGGTCCTCAACATCTGTTACGGATCGGCTCCTGAATCTGAATGTTTTGCAAAAAATGATGTCGAGCAGTGGTCGCAAAAGAGTTGCTTGACATCATAGTTGGGGAGTCTACATTCATCATCGCATCATTACAGCCTGGGCTTATAACAAGTTTATAGAAAATTGGTTTAAGCGTTGGCATGCTTGTATTGGTTCAGGAGCCTATTTTGAAGACGATAATAAAGATTTATCTTAAGATACGTTATAATGTAATCACTTTTTGTCAGTCCGGGTCAAACTTGAGCTATTTAGGTAATAACTGATAATAATATTACGACGGGAAAAACAGTGCGTCGTCGTTGCATTGGTGTTGAAGATGCTTAGAACTTTTTTTTAATGAACAAATCATCAACTTAGGAGCTTTGAAAGGAAGAGTTTGAAAACGTTCCAACGCAGAAATGCATTTAAACAGTTATAAAAGCAAATTATAATTTCAATGATACATATCCTCTGGGAATAATCTAGTGAAATGGTGGTTTAACAGTATACTTTTTTAAATCAAGTAATATACTTTCTAAAATCTTACACAGCGTGCAATGGTATATGTTAGTATGCAACATATATGTGAATTGTATATATTTATGCATGTATGTATGTATGCCCATAAAAATGTTATAGAGAGATGTGCACGCCACATCCGCGGTACGTTCACGCCTGTTGACATTATTGTAAACCGAAGGTGCCAACATTTTTTGATTTCTCTATTAAACCCCCAAGCACATTTTTGTTTCGATTTTGACAGTGATAGCTTTTGAGTATGTAAAAACATTTTTACACACCAAAAGCAACAACACTAATAACGAATAGGCACAATTTAAATCAAACGTTGATGACTAGGACTATTTTTAAGTGGCCGTACAAATTCGTTTGCTTGTATTAGCATTGTACGTAAGCGCATACATACTTATATATGCATTCCATACCCTGTAGGAATATATAATAGCAGCATCTCTGGAAATAGCCTGTTCTCACGCGAAGATGACGAAACCCTCATATTAGTTTTAAGCTCTAATTTATTGACATGTGGCCAAAGGTTAGATCTTTTTAGGGAATCATTTATTTCGTCAGCCCGTATTCCTCGAATCACAACTGGTAGGATTTGACGGAGATCTCCTAAGAACAGAATTCTACATCCACCCATAGGTGAATTTTTGTTGCGCAAATCGCGCATTGTCGTATCCAGTACTTTCACAGACGTCTTGTTTGACAAGGTAGCTTCATCCCACACTACTAATGAGCAGTCACGCATCAATTTTCCTGTATTGATCTGTTTAGAAACACTACAGTTACTGTTATTATCATCGGTGGCGATTTTCAGCGGGAGCTTGAATGTAGAGTGTGCGGTTTGGCCTCCTTTCAAAAGCGTATTGGCAATGCCGGATGACGCAACAGCTAATGCAATTTTTCTCCAAATAAATATCTTAATGATGCAACTGAACTACAAACAGCTGCTTCTGATAATGTGTTTTGCCAGTGAGAATCGTCTTCCGAGAACCCCATAGCTTTGCATGCTGCTTGATAAGTATTGTAAACAACACCTGTACTGTCCTTACGTGTGCGAAGGATGTCGGGCCTTTTACAATATGCAGTAACATTCTCAGATAAAAGCATTCGCTGTTGTTGGGATGAACCACGTAGACTCTGCCAAGAGTATCCGTTTTTTTACTCCGGGGAAACCATCAATTGCAGTACCTTGTTTTCGCCGTTGAAAAGAAAGATACCATTGTAGAATAGGTATCAGTTCTTTTTTTGAACTGAAATACCTCAACTTATACTATGATTTTATTAAGTATTGTTATTTTCCTCGCTAGAGAGTTCCGATAATAAACGCGTCCGATCGCTGCTAAATTTAAAGTGCTACAGAGAGAACCGTGGCATTCGAAAATGGTATTGTGGGATATCCATACATTCATCACATTAGAAACCTCAAAAAAAAAACAGTATTTCTACATTATTTAACGGATGATGTTATACATATAAACCTTACTCTTGATTCACTCTATCTATTAAAAAACCGCATCAAAATCCGTTGCGTAGTTTTAAAGATTTAAGCATACATAGGGATATAGGGACAGAGTAAGCGACTTTTTTTTATACAATGTATGATATACATTTATTAAGTGTTATATACCCTTGGAAATTTTCAAAAAAACAAATTTTTGGTTTTGCATATACAGTTACTGACAATAAAATAGAATCAAATAAATGGTTCGGAAATAATTAGCAATATTTATTATTTTTCCGATAGATTTCCGCTACAATTTTTCTGTAATCGATTCCTACAATATATACTTTTAAATCACTCTGTAACATTTTACTGTTATCTTTGTGTTCAAATTAAACAAGCGTGTGCTTTTGTTGGCGTGACAAAAAGTAGAATCAATTAATAAAAATATCAATTATAGGCATTTTGTTACAATTAAGTATTATTTGCAAAGCATTGCCCAGCGACAGAGCTTACGCTCATAAAAAATTGCTAAATAACATTGTTTGCGAGCGCTTGAAAGGCATACCAGAATCTTAAATGGACTAAAGATCAGATTTATTCTTCATAAATATTTGAATGACTACTGACTAATATTTTGACTTTTTAGCTTTTGGCAGTGCCTTACGTAAGCAGTCTTGTCTAATATTTTTAAACCTGTAATATCCAACAATTACCAGTTTTTTTTTTTTAGAGAAACAAGCCTACAACATTAAATTATCCCTGCAGGGTAAGCAGAATTAGACTCATTCCGCCCAAATGTCACAAAACTTGTCTAGATGCTACTATACTCGTACATATGTATGCATAGAATATATATAGGCATGTACATATACATATATCTAGGTAAGTGTGTACTTATAAATCAAAGCATATTGTGACGAAATCGTGTATAATTAAATAAATTAATTTGAACTTATTTTAAGAAATATTTTAAACGACCGATTAATGGCACGCCGGCGAGGAATGAATTGCAAGCAAAACAAATAATGAGAGTAGCGGTAGACGCTGATAAATTTTGCGCAAGGGTTTCAAAAAAAAAGACATGTGCACTGACTAAGTAAAAGTACTGTTGCATATAATTTGTGTACCTTACATTTTTACATACATACTCGACAATTCAATTTATTGAACATTTCTAGCTCTTTCTTATGAATGAGTTGACTGTAACCAAATTTAATTACAATACGGAGCGGAGTATCTAGCTGGCAGTGGTAAGGCAGTTGATGACACACTGAAACTAACTGACAAATGCTGCAGACGAAGTTTGTCAAACCCACAAGGAAACGTTGGAGAGAAATATAAAAAAAATATCGTCACTGTGTGTATATATAAATGATCAATGTGATGAGCTGTTCATTTGTCGGAACCGCCGATATTGGACCACCATAGCATATAACTGCCATACAACTGACCGATCAAAATAAAGTCCTTTTTTTTATTTGGCAAAATATCTTCATAAAGGGCATTAGAGCTAGGTGTAGTCGAATTTAACGTTTTTTTTTTGTTTCTATACTTCTCGAGTCCTCGAGTTAACATTTAATTCATGGTAATGAAAAATGTTGCTCATACGACATGGTGTACATATGCTTTTCATTGATGATTACTTTATTTTAATGAATAATCTTATATCGGGGTTTTTAAGTGTCGTGTCGGCCATTTTTAATATGTCATGATCTGTAATATTTTTTCCTTGTATTCAGTAATGTTTACAATTTCATCATGGAAAGATATACGCAAGAACAACGTTTACAAATAATTCAATTTTATTATCAAAATAGTCGTTCCCCAACTGCAACTTTTCGTGGATTGTTGTCATTTTATGGTCTTGATAATCGTTTTGAAATGCCTTAAGCCTGCATTATTTATAATAAAACTATTTGGTTTTAATTTTAACATTTTTTTCCATTATACACTCCTAAAAACAAAACAGCTTAATGCGAAACTAAACTTTGTAAAAGTGTTCTGTAACGTCAAACTACTTGTATATGCACAACACATTATTTTGCAAGGTTTTTTGACGTTGCGTACCGCCAATGTATAAATACTGTAGTCTTTCTGTATCGATACTTTACAGTAGTACGTTTTCTAAGTCAGCCCATGTATTCAAAATTCATGCAAGAATATTTGAATATTTTATTCCTTCAAAAAATTAAATAACAGCACATAACTACTGCAAGTCGTTTTTGAATAAAATGGATGGCACATCTAAACGGCACTATTTTTGAAAAGTTTTAACCCGAAATCTTTATTGGCTCTCAATTTCTATACTGTGAGAAGTAGGCGTGGCTGTAGACCGAATTCGCACAGCGTAATATGAGAATGTCATAATGTTATAAACCTAATTTCGTCGAAATTGGCCAAGTAGGTAAAAAAAAATGGATTTAACGAAGATTTCAATATGATGGAGAGACTCTCACCCAGATTTGAACTCGCCAAGACATCGTGATTGATATCCGTATATAACTCCATATCTATCTCGATTAGTTTTATGTGATACAAACATGTAGCAACATGTTGACAGTACAATCAGGGACGTAGTAGGGCACGCCAGGTACGGCTTGTTGGTTTATAAAAAAATATATAAAGTTATATAAAAAAAATTTGTTACTGAATAACCTCTACCACAAATTCATTGAGATAGCTCTCATTAGACATAAATATAATGAAAAAACAATTAGGGTTAAAATAACACTAAATATAAATAAGTATGTTACATGTAGGTATATTGATATTGGTATACAATTTTTAATAACCAAAAAATTATGTCAAATATAAAATTTCTGCTCACCTGCATTTTATTAATGGCTTTCCAACCATCCTCGACACCTCTCACGGCTACATATTTCGACTGTACTGGCAGCAACAGCTGATCTAAAATATCCAATTTTCCCGGAGCATATTTAATGGATTGCAAACTCATTTTGTTTGTTTGTTTGTTTTTTATTTCTTTTTAAGGTTTCTGACGCAACTCAACTGTAAATATATGGAGGCGCGGAAAACTAAAACACCTTTATTTGGCGGATGATTCTAGAGTTAAGCGACACAAAAGAAAAGAACACACAAAAATAAATAACACACAAAATATAATGGAAATCAGCATATTAACATACATATGTACATACACATGTATATATATATGTGTTTGTACATCGTAATGAACGCGTAAACGCTTGTCGATTCACAAAATTTGTTGCTTTAATAAGTGAAATTTATTTGTGCTAACATCAATGCCAAAATAGAAATAAGTACTTTCATTAAAGGCGAAAAAATAATAAATAAATAATAACAAAAAAAAAACTTTGTTTGACGTTCTCTGGGAAACGATTGCCGGTATTGATCGCGGCGGATCGCGGCTCATCGCAGGCTAAAATCTAATGCACGATACACCGTCGGCCCGACGTCTGGCGAAAGCATGCAAGTCACCAGCAATAAATTTGGAAAAGCATCGCATTAGGAATGGAGGTGCTGACTAGTTGACCAGCAACAGCTTCATTGCTATGTAGCAATTTGTTGTACGAGTATATGTAACACTGCAATGCGTTTCGGCTTGTCTGCCCACCTAACACCCGTGAAATATACGAAATAGCATAAGATAGGAAATTGAATTTTAATTTTAAATTCGATTTGCAATAAATCATTGGATTCTGCCCGATAAAACGTGAAATACACACATACAAACGAACTAATTGTACAATTTGACACACTGATGCGCCGGTAGACGAACCGTCACAAAGGTAAGTGACAGCGAATTGGTGATCTCCGTTCGAACTGGCGCACAGAAAGTAATTACCTATCACTTGGCAACGACCGCTTCACCTCCGATTTGCTGGGGTTGAACTAATAACAACAAAAATATGTTATACCAGAGAAATAAAACTAAAATCTAAATTGCCAAAGCAATAATCACTTGCGCGAAATGTTTCGAACACGCAACTAGCGGCCAGACAAAAAATACGCAGAAGCCGAGAGCAGATAACAACACGGCTGGCAGTTGTAAGTGTGACTGAGGCGGCAATCGCTAAAGGAACTGCGAGTGCCCGAGAGACGCTACGATTTTATGCATTATATTTTTCAACAGAGACTCTTGCACGTTATCTGTGGTCTGTTGGAAGCCAAGATACCCTATAGCAATATAAACAAAAAAGTTTATGTTCTTAGAATATATATGTATACATATATGTTTGTATATAGATGTGCATGCCTAATGTTTATATTTATGTAAGATAAGCTGCAAGATTAAGATTTACAACTCTTTGCGCTATCAGCTACACTTTAGGAACGTGATGAAATCGCGTTTGTCTATCTTATCAATTAAGTGGTTTGGGGTTAGGTGGAAATTTGAGAGCTTTTTGGATTTTTAACTACATTGTAACACATTCTAAGCGTGAGTATTTACATATTCGGGTAGATAATAATCTAAAATTATGGGAAACGTCGGAGATCCTATAAAATGAGTATAAAAGTGATCATGGTGACGAGCTGAGTCAATTTAGCCACATCTGTCTGTATATACCCGAACTAGTCCCTCAGTTTTTGAGATATCTATCTGAAATTTTTGAACACGTCCCTTTCTCCACGAGAAGCTGCTTATTTGTCGGAACCGCCGTTATCGGACCGCTATAGCATATAACTGCCATACAAACTGTAAGATCAAAATCAGTCCCTTATATAGAAAAATGTTTTATTTGACGATATATCTTCATGAAAATTTGCATAGATTGTTGCTCAAGACAACAGTACAATATCCTAAAAAATTGTTTAGATCGACCATATAGCATATAACTGCCATACAAACTGATCGTTCAAAATCAAGTCATTATATGGGAAAACTTTTTTATATGACCAGGTCTCCACCAAATTTTACTTGGATTCTTTGTGATGGGTGTTATAGATTCGGTGCAATCGAAGTTAACGTTTTTTCTTGTTTTTTTTTTTTTAAATAACGTTTTTAATGTCACACCAGCGTGAGAATTTTTTACAAAAGACAGCTCTTCATAAAATGTATAGGATTTTATTTTTATGAAAGGAATTGTGCACTAATACAAAAAGACCTTAAGAAAATGCAATCAAAATCAACACCTGCCGACGAATATAGTGTGTAAATTGCAAAAGCATATTGTAGTAAAAAGCGTCTAATGAGCACTTCTCATCAATGGTAATATGAAAAAGGGTGTGAAACTGGTTATGAGCTAACAAACGTTATCGAGTGATGCCCTTTTTCACATTGTACAATTTGTACTGGCTAAATTAGGAAAAAACAAACATTTAAATGTAGAATCAGAGAGTCTTGCAATCGGTGGTTATTTATATATACATATATAGTCTTTATCGTAACTGTTCCGAACCCCCTCCTTTAAAAAGTATCTACGCTGACCAATGCAGTAGCAACCAGAGAATCAGTAACTTTGCAACGAAACCACAACAAAACTTCAATGACAAGCAAATTGTGCAAAGCCATATGGAGGGATCATAAAGTAGGAAACTGTTCTATGATAAAAGAGCTCTTTTCGCGTGACTTTTGATACTAATCCTTATAATCTCACTTAATATGTACTGAAAGCACAGTTGAATATATACTGCGTTTCCCCAACTCACTTCTCTTTTTTTGTGTAAGTTAACGAAGGTGTATTGAATATGATGACATCAATCAACTAGTGGTTATTTCTCATTACAAGTCTGACCCAGCAAGCCGGCGAATAGCACAAACAAAGAACCGTTTATTTGCCTATGTTCATACACACATATATACATACATGCCAATATATCACGCATTTCAACATTTCTTACCTAATTTACACTTTCACTTTTATGTTGGTTTAATTCCAAAATACAAACTGTTCTTGGTAACAACTATTCAATCTGGAAACAAGACAACATCAGCAATTTCGCTTCAAATTCAATAAATTCGCTAAACTCATGCCCGGCTTCAATAAAAATTCTAACTTTTTCTTATCACTGTTTTACATATTCGTTATCGCATACGAAGCGCTGCCATCTTGTTATATTTCAGCAGCACATTACATATTTTTCATGCGCATGCCAATAATTATATGCATCCATTTGCGTGCGTTTTAGAGAGGCGTTCCAATCCTTTATGGGTATGAGTGGTTTAATACACATTAGTTAAATATAAATACCAGATTCTTACATCACGATATCTATGATGATTGTGATTATAGCGCAATTATTTCAAATGATTGTTGATTTTCAGATTTTGTTTAGCTTGGCAATATTGTTTATCACACAAACTACAATTCACAATCATTAGCGTCATTTACTGATTTAACATACATTTGATATCGATAAAATAACGTTAAAATCGAGTTATGATGCCAGTTTTATTTAAAACATTATACTTTTAGTTTCTAGTAAGTTGCAACACATTCATAGATTGGCATAAATACTTATCACTGTAAGTGATTTAATTTATAACGAAAGTTTTCGTGCGGACATTTTTCATTTAAATAAATGATATCGAATTTAAAATATCGAGCGTTCCATAAATCATTACATCTCTAATAAGTTTTGTTTATCCAGTATAATTTGGTTTGTGTTTGCTTGGTAAAATAATAAATTTTATTGAAGCCCCACTCTTATAAAACATATAAAAGGCTCAAAATGGGGGAAGCCACTTATCCAGATCTGGAGAAAATGTGTAGATTATGTCTAGGCATTTTGGATCAATCAGAACTCGTCGACATTTTTCCACAAAGTGGGGCATCCACAGACAGCACTTCGGTGCAGGTGTCAATACCAATGCGTATTATGGCGTGCGCCGCTTTGGAAGTACAAACAGGTGATGGATTGCCGAAATCAATATGCACCGAATGCCGTTACCAATTGGAAAAATCATACTATTTTCGCAAACGTAATCAACAATCGGACAGCAAATTGCGCAAGCATATACGTTTGCTAAATCTGGGTAAAAGGAGTCGTGTCTTTGAGAAAACGGAGGACGACGATTTTGAAGATGAAATCGAGTTCGAAGATTCTATTAAATTTATACAAGAAATCGAGGAAGAAAGAAAAGCATCAGAAACGGCATTATGGGAACAAAAGTCACAGAAAGAGATTGATGAAAGGATTGCTCAGGCCAAAAAAGAATGTATAGAAAAATATAGAATAGATATACGGGATGAAGTAGCAATTGAGCTGCGTAGTGCAGTCATAGCTGAAGTGAGGGAAGAGTTAAGATGTGAAATGGAGCAGGAATTACGAACGGCTCTACGTGAAGAATGCTTGGAGCAGGCAAAAGAAGAGCTGCGTCTGGATGTAATGGCAGAATGTCGTGAACAAGAACGAATTGCATTATTAGATGATTTGCAGACTTTTTTAAATACAAAAAAGGAAACAAACTTGGCGACTAAAGCTGGCGCAATAATAGTTTCAACGCTAATTGAGCAGCCGGTGGAATCAAAAGTAGAAAAACAGAAGGAAACAAGTGAAATTGTAAGAATTGTGGAAAAAAGAACCTCATCAGCGTCCTCCGCTAAAGACGAAATAGTTAATAATGATGATATATGTGCGGAGACTGAAGGCGATGCCGAAGCTGAAGCGGAAGAAGAGTCAGAATTCTATTTAATAGAGTCAATTAATAGCCATGAAGGTGATGGTTCTGTGGTGTCCGAAAAATCAACCAGGAAACGTCAAAAGATAGATAAAAGTCAACGGTTTGAGTATTTCGAGGATAGATTAGGAAGCGGAAATTTTCGTTTAACAGCCTCGGAAAGTAGTAGTCATGAGCCTGGCACCGATTCATATCACAGTAATTACGGTCAAATTTTAACGCTCTAAAATATGCTAATCTCAAATATTTATTACAGTTGCAGATACTGGTGATGTTCAATATTACAAAAAAAGTTCAAAAAACGGGGACGAAGATGCCGAATGTGAAGAAATGGAGGGAGATGACGACGGTGATAATGAGGAAGGGGTTATAGTTTTTAATTTTTCCGATGACATTGAGGGCGAGCAAGTCGAGTCCATGGATTTCGCAGATCTCAAGAAACTATACGTAATGGTTGGTTATAGTGCAATATTTGTATCGAAAAATTTATTATAAAATAATTTACTTGTGTAGAAGCCGTCGAAGACAGAGCAAAGTGTCGACGAGGAGAATGAAGAGTGTAAATCAGATGCCAAACCGACGTTCACAAAACAAATAGTGGCAAACGGCACAAATACCGTCGAGTTGGGCAATACAGTTGAATTCCCCGTGCATCTACGAAAAACAGATACACCGAAGACATTCAAATGCGATTCATGTCCGATGGTTTTCTCAACCAGCAATGCAATGAATCGTCACCTGCGCACACATCTCAAAGGCGAAGAGCGGGGCATATCCTACCAGTGCTCAGTGTGTCTTGTATATTTATCCTGCAAAAGCGCGCTCAATCGTCATATGATCATACATACGGGCGAAAAGCCACATGTGTGCGACGAATGTGGCAAATCATTTGTGCAACGTGAAGTGCTAAAGCGACATATGTTAACACATACAGGCGCCCGACCGCACAAGTGCACACATTGCCGACGTACATTTACGCAAAAGAACAACTTAATGAATCACATAAACCGAGCGCACTCAGAAGTGCCAATGGGACAACAATACTCATGTCATCTCTGTCCGAAACGTTTCAGCCACACATCGGGTCTTAGTCGACATCTGGTTACACATACGGGCTTGACATTTCAATGTACTGAATGTAAACGAAAATTCGCCGATCGCTCATCGGTGAAACGACACATCGTCAATGTGCATGGGGTGCGAAAGAATGAAGCAATAGAAAGTGTAAAGAAATCATCGGATGTTGAATACTACTCCGTTGAATGTGTTGATAGCGTTGAAACGAGCGAAGAAAATGGTGCAACATTTTTGGTATGATAGAATGTTAGTAAATCACGATTTTATTTTTTTTTTACTATTATTTCTATTATTTTGCCTGAAGCACTTTGTAGAGCTTGAATTGATTAAGAGGCCATCAACTTGTTACGCGCAGTAACAAATTATTTTATTTTTAAACATTATCAATTGGCTGATAAGTAGTTTTTAATAATTTGCAGAGTTTAATTTATTTCTAATATGTATTCCTTTGTACTACAAGTTAAACCGTACGGTCATAGAAATATTTTTACAAATTATCAATAAAATTATGCAAAGATTCAACATTTTATTTTAAAACGATAAAAAAAATTTAATTTCGTTGATTTCATTCTTGTCTGCATTGCAATTTTACTATGATATACTTTAAATGCTTTGGAGGTGTGTATAAGAGCATATCAGAGAAAACGATCCCGACCAGGATTAAATTTATTTATTTCGGACGCTAACTTACTGCCTTTGAAGTGGTACGTGGTTCTTGGGTGACCAAGAAAAACAATTCGCCTTACCAAAATGAATGATGTTTGCGAACACTTCTTGTATAAATATGTTAATGGCTGCTATAGCAAATTTTTTTCATATATGACCGAATTTGGAATATTAATAAGTATTATATAACACAAATAAATTACAGTGCAAATTAAATATTTAATTTTAAAGTATTTTCCATCAAAACACTTCTTTTTCTTTTAATATTTACTTTTCACAATTAGCGTAAACAAATCCTCAAAGCACCGCTAGCAATGTCAACATTGGGTTGACACATCGCTGATTTTGACAGTTGAATCGTGTGCACAAACAAATAGCGCTTAAATTTAATTTTAAAATAAGATAAGAAACGCATTTTTTAGATTTTAATATATATGAAATTTTTTTCTATTTATGTAATCATTTACGTAGAATTAAGATTTTGTATATGTTTTACAACATATACATATCTACACACACGTGCATGTGTACCAATAACAATTGATTTTTTTTCACAGAAGCAGTTAAAACGTTAAATTGTATTAAATTGTATATAAATAACTAACCATTATCAATACGCATATTACAATATATTTGAAACATTTACTTGTATGTATATGTATATAAATATGTAGCTTAGGCGAAATTCCTAATTAACTATTCGTACAACAATGCAAAAATTGTAAATTTGAGAAACTCATACAATTACAGGGCTTACGCAATACTTTTGCTAGAACAAATTTCTGATATTTTTAGAATAATCTTATGAAAAACAAAAACCAAACAATAATGGAAAACAAAACACAAAATAAATTTATAATAAATGACATGCATACAATATTTTAAATATTTAACTTAACTAGTGGAAGTCAGAAAAGTGTGATTTATTGAATGCTTTCGTAAATACTTCAGTTTTTTCTTATCAATTGGTTTTCTCATTCTTTGAATAAGATATCTCTTACTTTCTTCAATAAAATACATGTCTGCACAAGCGTTTAACTAAATGCATGAGGCAATTGAACTTACTAAATATGAATGCAACAAATATTTTTCAGTGAATAACAACGAACAATAGAGATTTACAGTTATCAGTTACAGATATCTCCTAAAACAATAGTAAAAATAGCAACAATTTTGGCAAAAATCTTCTTAAACACGCAAATATTTTGTTTGTACACTTTACACTTGAAACAAGTCAGCAGTTGACGAACTATGACACGAAATATAAAACTGTCTAAATTCATATTTTTTTACATTATTTTTTTGATTGCGCTACAGCGCTATGTATTTTGGTATGTATGTTGATCATGCGAAATATGTGCATACATATATACGCAGCTAAATATGTTTGTATATGTATATGTATACGTAATATAGTAGGTACAAATATTCAAAATACTTTAATAGATGTATGTATATTGTGCTCAACGACGCACGCCTACATGTAGACAGTCATATTTTGTGTTAAGTTCAGTAGTTTAATTTAATTTTATGTATGTATGTGTACACCAAAAGCGGCTAATATTTGTTTATCCAATAATCGTATTTTAGTTTTTCTTTTTGTTATTTTCATTCAATGTTCGAGTGCACTCCGCTATGCCTGCTTGCAGTTGCATTAAAGATACATATATATGTATATATTTATTTTAATAATTATTTTTTTGTAATCGACACATTTTGCTGTTCGGACTAATCCGAATTGGTGAGGGAAGAGCGTTGTGATTCGAGTGTATTGGTGTCGTTGCGATTGCGCAACATGCGTGGTTGACTTGATGCAAAATTGGAAAAGTCTTTCATAACATCCTTATAGGTTTCATCTTCGCCATTGCCTTCGTCATTCATGCCGATCTCGTCGTTCAGGCGCGTCAGACGCAAGCTAACGAAAAAAGTGTTGTAATATCGTAAACGATATGATTGTATGCAATATGTAAGACTTGTACTTACAGTGTCACAATGTCCGCATTGCGTTGATCCACCGCTATGTCGAGCGGTTTTTTGCCCTCATGCGATTCGGTGTCATATTTGGCTTTGTGTTTAAGCAGCAAATACACTTGCGCTATGTAACCCCGTGCGGTGGACATGTGTAACGCCGTCTCGCCGTTATCGTCGGCCGCATCAATAGGCACGCCATTCAACAATAAGTACTCGCATGCCATTACTGAACCCTATAGTGGAAAAACAAACGATAAATAAGTAATTGCTTATAGATATGAATATGTTGCACACTCACCGACAGTACCGCCTGATGCAAATATGTGCGATTGTGATCGTTCGGATTCTTCCAGTGTTTGTTGACGCCCAGAGCATAGGCCATGCACATCACAGGCAAATTATGCACTGCCGCCGCTTTGTACAACATGAGATTCGCATCGAGTTTGGAAAAGGGCACCTCATCTAATATTTCCGGTTCGATTTCGCCATCGGTGGACTCTTGATCCGAACCGAGAATGGCGGGCGTTTCATCCGATTCTAACGCCAAATCATCACCGATTAACATCAAATCTTCACGTGAAATACTCAACGAGAGCGAAGGAAGATTTATCGACTCGTCATCATCATCAGACTTTGAACTAGAACGATGCCTGTCACGATGTCGGCGTCGGCGATATTTCTTGACCGCCCACTTGCGTGCACCCAACGAAAGTGTTGTAGTCTTACTCAAACTACGGGGTTCCTCAGCATCAGCACCAACAACACCACCGCCGCCGCCACCGTCACCGCCACTATCAATGGAGAGCACTTCAGCGGTTTCGCTGGCAAGTAGTTCTTGCGGTTTCGGCATGGCACACACGAAACGCTTCTCCACATATTTCGCCTTGATCCACGCCTCGCGCACACTAATATCGCAATTCTCTGTGGCCGCTTTCAGTTCACAATTCTCGCCGATGCGCGCTTCGTAAATGCGATTCACCACATTATTGCCCAATTCCATCATCACCTTCACGTTCTCCGTCTCCCAGGCGTCGAGTGTGAGCGAACGCACTTTGCTATAGTGCACGCCGAGACTGCGATGCACACCGGAGCATTCGATGCACAGCGTTATGCCCAGATTGATAGAGGCCCAACGCGGATCGGAGCCGCGACAATCGCAGCACTGCGAATTACCGGGAATTTTAAGGAATTGCTCCCAGTGACTGGAGTTAGATAATGTTAAAGCATTAAAATCATATGCAATTTTCCTTTCAGCACAAATACTTGCGTACATTTTCCGCTTCGCATTGAGTGCATTCGTCGCCAGCGACGACTGTGGTCTGGAATGTTGGCTGTCGTGCTGTATAGCAGCGCCAATGCTTTTCTGCAGCGCTGAAATCCACAGCGACAACATATCAGCGGAGTCTGCTTGCAAAATGTGCGATCTGAAATTGCGTAAGTTATTTATTCATTTATGTTGTATATATTACAAAACAAAAAAAAATTATATATATATATAAATATATGTGTGTGCGCTACTCACTTTGTGGGCGAAATAACTTCGAAGCAGAAGCGACGATCGCCATCGTTGACGGGACGCACTGTACAAATGCGTAAATCCTCCTCCATAACGGAGAATGAATCCTCATTACTGCGTTTTCTGCAATTCGAATCCAAATCACTTCAGCGTTTTTTACAAACACAACATAAATTGGCAAATATGTGTAGGTAGAGTAGGTAGTAGTAGTAGTAGTACATAGTTGGAGTAGTAGGTGGGTATGTACGAGAGTGGTCGAGGTATGGCATGGCACACGACATAACCAACCACAACAACAACACAAACATAAAATAAATGTAAAAATTAGGACGCATACACGAGTAGAGATGAAAAAGCGAATTGAATTCTAAAAACTAATACTAACAACTAAAGCTAATTAATTTAAATTTAACTTAAATGTACTTAAAATTTTTTATAAAATATATACAAGTACTATGCAACGGAAATGAAATGAACTGTGTGGGCTAACAAATATTTGCATGGTTTCTAATCAAGTAACTATATAAGGAGAGGCAGCGGGACAGGACTCGATTTATGTTATAAAACTTTGAAATTCTAAAATAATTGTAACAAAATCAAACAATTAAAACTAAAACAATAATAATTAAAAAAAAAAAACTATTAAAAATAATAATAATTTAAAAATTATATTTAAAATGAATAAAAAAGTAATAACAAGAAAAAACGTTAACTTCAGCGGCACTAAAGCTATAATGCATAAAGCGTTGTCTTGGACAATGATTCGTGCAAAATTTCGTTAAGATAGTTTTTCAATTAAATAAAAAAAATAAACTTTTCCATACAGGGACTTGAGTTGGACCCATCATTTTGTATGACAGCTATATTCTATAGGGGTCCGATATCCGTTCCGACAAATGAGCAGCTTCTTAGGGAGAAAAGGACGTGTGCAAAATTTTAGATCAACATCAATATCTCAAAAACTGAGAGACTACTTCGAATATATACAGACAGCCTGTCATGACTAAATTGATTCAGATCATGAAGCTGATCATTTATATATATACTTTATTGGGTATACGACGTCTTTCCTTCTGGGTGTTACAAACTTCGGGGCGAACTTAATATACCCTGTTCAGGGTATAAAAATAAAAGTATACAAACCGTTCCCCGGGTTGCCTCCAGTAAATTAGATCCAACCATCGTATAAATGAACCCTGATCTAAGAGTATATGACAACCAGGATTGCAAGTATTGCATTAAAAAAGTAATCGATTTTTTTTTAATCCCGTATTTGCGATTTTTAATTTTAATTTCCCTCATACCGGATTAAATAATTAAAATTTTGCCCAACATCGAGATTAAAAAATAAAACCTAATTTTGAGTCCGAAAATTCTATCCCGGGGACGGGCATTCCGAACTATGCGATTAAGCGAGAATATTTCAACAAGAAAGAAGGAATGGGTTTGTCTATACCCGAAAGATAATTTCGCTTCTGTGCGAAATTAACAGTACGCGAAATGATTTTGCGATAGATGTTTAAGACTCAAAATATATAAATATTCCTGATCAGAGAGTAAGGTGTACTTTGAAAGAAAAGGAAGAGTCAGATGGGGGTTTAACAGCCGTGTTAACTACAAGTTGCTACAGCAACGTCATTTCACCAAGAGTAAGGTATAAAAACAATAATGACTCAGAGGAAATTGCTTGATTCACTGTAATAATAGTTGAAATGTACTGTTATTGTTATTCGCCTAATCAACTTGCAAATATCAATCAATCTTTTTCGAATACTTTTAATTGCAGTGGAAAACTTTTTTTTTCAAACTCCACTCAAACTAAATCATTGTACTTAACACGCATAACGTGTTTAAATTTATTTTATGTGAAAACTAAATACGCGGATGCGATACAAAATTTTACGATCTCTTTCTTGTTATTTTTTTTAAAGATCCCCGGGGTTCCTTAATCAATAAAAAAAAACACAAAATTTGTAAAAATACACTCTTCATTTTCTTTATCTTGCCACTTAATTGATAATAAACTCTTCTACCACCTCAGGCATACGTAATACTCACCTATAGACTAGCTGATTATTGCTCAGATAGAACCAGCGACGGCACCATGTCTTGAATCCTTTCGACTTTTTCTTAAATAAATAGCCTTCGATTTTATTCGAAGTGCTATTCGTATTTGTATCACTAAAATTGTTCACACTCATGTGGCGGTTTTGCATCGCCTTCTCTAATTGTTGATAGTCACCGCGTAAACAATTCAAGTCTTCCGTTATATTTTTGAAGAATTCATCAAAATCGTTGCATAAATCGAAACCTTGATGGTAGTAGGTAACGCAAGCCTGATAGTAGTCGACAAGCTGGTGGAATGAAATAAACACACAAATATGTTAGTGAGCTTGAGCTTTCAACTTTTGACCACAACAATTAATTAAAATTAATTTTCGACTAACCGTTGATAAAATCGATGGAACCTTACGCGATTGTACTAAAGTTATATAATTTACATAGTCTAATGCAGTGTGTTGAAAGCATGATTTACTAGCTGATAATATGTTAGCTGCCTCTTGTACTTCTTGCGGGCGATTCTTGCTTGCCTGCAATTTGTAAAAGCAACAATTAGCAAAGCGAACATTTATACAAATACGGGGATGACTCATCGTCGGCGGAACAACTTGCCTGTGCATTTTTTATGAGCGCATTATCGTAACCCTCGGATACTTTAAGGAAGTGTCCTTTGTAGTCCTTAACTTGATTGATATCGTCTTTGACGAATACTTTGAGGTTCTTCAAAACCGTGCGACTCGCTTGATCCAATAGAATGGTATGAAACTTGTTCATTTCCTGCAAATGTAGATAGTAGGCAAAATGTATTGCATGAGTACATATATAAATAAGTACGAGTACTAGGTATACATATGTAAGTGTTACAATCGCGGCATGGGCAATGAGTAATGGCTTGATGAATCGACGGCGATATCGAATTCGTATACGAAAAAAAAAATTCAATAACTACAAAAAAGCAATAAAATAGCGACGAGTATGCGCGCCGGCATGTGAGTGGCGCTTTGCGAAGAGCGTAAGTTTTTATAGCATTAAAGTGAAATTACATTAAATTAAATAAATAAATGAATTTAATGAACCTGAAAACAGTGTATCAGTTTGCCCAAAGCATTGTGCGCGTTCTTATTATCGGCAAAATGTTGCTGCAAATCCCATAAGGACATGGCGAAGGCGCTGTAAAAAAAACAATAAAAACAATTATGTGATAACACAGTGCGTAATTGAAAACTAGCAGACAATGAATAAAATAAAATCAATGGAAAATAAAGAAATGCAAGTTAATGCATTTGTATGCTTGCAACTTACCTCTGATTCTTGACATACTCCTTGCCTGAGTCCACAGCTACAGTGCAGAGTTTGATTATTTTCTCAAGCCGTTGCTCCAAGTGTTCGATATCAGTTTCTTCCTTGGAAATGAATTGTCTGAAAAGCAAAATATAAAAAAATACAAATTGGACAAATAACAATAAGTAATAATAAGCGCAGGGTTTAACTGCCTGTAGTTTACGAAAGCGCAAGCAAAACAAAAACAATATCGCGCTGACAGTAAATAAAAATAAAACAATTTAAAAGCGTATACACTGACGTATACTATATAGGAGCTCACATGCAAATATGCTGTCAAATCGATTATCAGCGCAGAGTTCAGTTAAGCGAAAATATGCCACTTTATATTGTGTCTCCACAAAACCAGTCAAAGCAAAAATAGCAGATACATTTTTAAGAAACTGCGTAAATTAAGAGTAAAAGTTAAATGATATGAAGTTTTGTTATTGTTTGTGTTTTTGTGCTTTGTTTTGATCTTTGGTGTGGGCCTTCATTCACCTCTTGGCTTATGGTGCCCGTTTTCACTTAGTTTTTTTTTTTCAAACATATTGATAAATAAACCTGTCATAAAATAAACACTCATAACAGTTTGCATATACATATTTTTGTGTATACATATGTATGTATGTAAATTTTCTCTTTCATTTTACATAAACATTGTTGCATTCTTTTTTATTTTCGCACACATATTGGCTTTGCGGTTTTGTTTTATATTTCCTTTATTATAATTATATCCGTGTAACACATAGCAATTAGTTGAATTATGTATGTCAATGAATTAATGAGAATTATATAAAAATTATTGGTGGCAGAGGATGTGAGCTTTTGGAAATCAATGCAAGTAGCTCAAGTTATTATCGCTATGTTAAATAGTAATTAATTATTTACAACGAAAATAGATAAATTAAAACAAAACTATTGTGGACACATTAAAACTATCTACATCTTAACAAAAAAATGTGTATTAATTTTTTTTCAGTTTGGATGTCTAAAAGGCACACTGTCTCCTAGGTAGTAAAGTACTTTTTAAGTTAGCAAGTAGTATGAGAGAGCTCAAACCTTCGGTGGACGTGCAAACTTTTGTATATTTGTATGTAATTGTTTATTGTAAAATTATAAGTAGTTGATTGAAGTATTTATGGTAGATAAGAAATTTTAGCATAAGATATCAGTATTGATAAAGATATTTAGCGTAGTGTTTTCGCAAAGAGGAAAAATAAAACACTAGACACATTTTGAATTTCGCTTTCTAACAACGTGCCACACAGAAACAACACTTTAACGACAAAGGATTCCTTTGTTGAAAGTTAAGAGTTCTTTAAACATGTAAAATATAGCAATTTTATTTGCTGGCTACATTAAAGATATTCAACTAAATATTCTGAAAGTGAACTAGAACGAAGAATAGCCAACAGTTGTTTAATATAACGAATAAGTGTGTACGTTTGTGTTCAAAAAAATAACCCTGGTCGATCCAACACCGGGGTGTTCAGAGGAACTATTTTTTGCATTGGCGGCCTTCGCCGTCTCAAAATTATTTGTCCTTGGTCTAAAATTAATAATTGCTATATTTGAAGTGTGCTTAAATAAAAAAAAAATTACTTTAGATCATTAGGAAAATATTTTAATCAAGTGGTAGTATTTTATTACATTTAAAATTTTTGTAGAAAAAAGGAAGCAATTAACATTGCATACAATTATTTGTATCATATTTGCTTCACCATGATTACACAAATCACCAAAAAAATATAAATTGATGTTTTTTTTGGAATCGAACCACACAGCTTTACAATTCTTTTTATTTGTGCCTGGTCCATAATTGAGTAAAATATGAGACTGATACATTTCGAAAATCGCAAATTAAAATCTAGTAAAAATATCAAGATTACCATCTCCAGAACAGGAAAAATGCGATGACTAACTAGTTCAACTAAAGATTTATAAGTAAAGTTGAAGGTAGTTAATAATGTAATATTAATTCATACATACATACAGTGTTGCCAAAAAATATAGGGTCAAAGGGTACGTTTAAAATTTTCAATTATATATTTCAATTAAAGGATATACAATGAAATCTTTTAAATATTATCGTTAATTTAGATAATTAATTAACATTTGAGTAGTTATTTAAGGTTTATTTGAGTTTACAAAGTGAATACGGATACATTTTGTATTACAGCCTGGAAATAAAAATAGGGGCAGACATTAATTAATTTTGGGTGTTTTTTTTATTTAATTATTACTTTTCTTTTATTCAGATCTAATATTTTGTTGATGCTCGTTTCATTTTACCCACCTCCTGACATCTTCGTGCCATGGAGTTGACAAGGTTAGTGCAAGTCGTGGCCGGTATTGAATACCATACTTCTTGGACTTTTCGTCACAATTCGTACTTATTTTTCCATTTTTATCCACCGACTGATTTCTTCAGCACTCCCCATAGATGTTCTATGGGATTGAGATCTGGCGACTGGGAGGGCCATTCCATAACGTCGACTTTATTTCGCTGAAACCACGATTTTACCAGTTTCGAAGCATGTTTTGGGACGTTGTTATGCATGAACTGCCGTTTTAGTAACATGTGCTCCTCCTCATAAGGCAACATTACAGTATTAAGAATGTTTAGAGAATCTGTTGAACACATTTGTCTTGTATCTAATAAATCGGCCCAACTCCAACCGCCGAAAAGAATCCCCATAATATTATTGGTCCGTTTCCTGGTTTAGTTGTTTTTCGTTTATATCTGGGGTCAAATTCTGCATTTCGAGGTCGTCGTACAAAAGTTTTGGCATCAGATCCAAACAAATTAACATTCGTTTCATTCGATCACAGGACGTTATTTAAATTTCCACGAAGCATTTTGTTTGCTTAAAAACGGAGTTTCTCTTGCACTTCTTCCAGTTAGACCAGCTTCCCGAAGTTGATTTGTAAGTGTGCGACTGGTTACTGATTCGTTCAGTAATTTTTTGATATAATATTTTCAGACGATAAAAATGGATTCTTCGATTGCATTACCAGCAAATGGTCAAACTGTGCCGTTGTTTTACGTTTTCGTCCTCTTTTTTCACTTTTTACGAGTGTTTTAAAGGCATTACAGACCATATTTTTGGAGTAAGCGGACATAATGCGCTATTTTACGAATAATTTGTCGCCATTTTCTTAATTTAATAATAGTTTTCTTTTCACTTTCCGTACAATGTTTGCCGCGCCCATTTTATAAATGCCGACGCATCAAAATACTGACAAAATTTAAATACACAACATATCAAAATACAGACACGATAAAATATTTTTGAAAAATGCAGCAAGTAGTTCGACTCGAAGTACCTCTGAACTCCCCAGTGTTGAATAGACCAAGGTTATTTTTTTGTAGTTGTAGTTTGACGCGGAAAAACTCTGAACACCCCGTTATTTTAAAATTTTTTCTGTCTGTATTTTGAATTGTCGGTATTGTAAATTTCATGATTTTGATTGTCGGCAAAATGCAATACACCCGTAATGTAATACAGTTAATTTCAACATAACAATAAATGGGCTCTTAATTTTAGAACATTTCGGTGCGATCTTTACTATTTTTCTGTGCAACTAATAAATAACCAGTACTTGAACATACATATAGATATTCCCTACATCATCATACAGCAATATTTTTCTGTAAAGAAAAGCATTCCATATAAAATGTATTTGTATTACCACGAAAATGTTATATCAGGTATAAAAGTCCATAGGATTGCGATTTTATTAATCTTATATTCATTATTATTTTTTATTAATCCATATCCATCACTATCTATCCATATTTAAATTTTTTACAGATGAGTACATCAGAAAGTTGTGAGTTGATAACACGTACAATTAAATTATATACATATATGGGATATGTAGGGCTGATAATTGTTTATTTAAATTTTAATTTAGTTTAGCACGTTAATTTAGTTTAGTGATGGTTTTACCACATATGAGCATGCAACATAAAATTCCTCATGGGAAAAACATGGGTTTTCCAAATTTAATCTGCAACGGACAATGTTTGCTGTAAATGCTTAGTGAGAGACGTTGCGAAAGGTAAACGATTGGGTAACTGTAGCGATCTGAAAAATAGCGTAGATTCTGACATTACCATTTTTGCAAGAGTACCACTTCTCCTTGAAACTTCCCAGTTAAATTAGTTACTTCAACATAATTGAAGTTGAATCAAATTATACAAAAGAATAATAGGTTACAAGGTATAATCTGGGTATATATAGAGAACTTAAAAATTCAATTTGAATTAGAAATTAATTTAGTCAACATCACTTTTAGACTGCCAAAATAATGCATTTAGTGAGCCTATCTATATTTATAAATTAAACTTTACGCCATAAATTTTACTTATTTTTATTAATTTTTGTAATACATATCATGTTTGGTTGTAGCCGTTAGGACAAAATATTCATAATGAAATATACTCAGAATTTCAAGATTTCCCCCCGACATTAAACATTTCACTATTAAAAAGTTATTTTAACAAATTGATACATACATACGTACAATTAGTGTTATCATATCATGAACATTTTTACGAATATAATAATAAATAATGAGAATAAAAAGAGAAAATTTCGCACAAAACTTTTGATAAATAAAATCATTTTTTTTACATTATCGGCACATACATACATGAGATATATATATAGATAATGTATCTAAATATAATGAATTAATTATGCGTGATTATTCTGAAAACTTACCTTTAATTTATTTTCAGATATACATACATACATAGTTGACGATTTAATTCTCTACAATTATTAACATTGTATTATGCAAGCTTTTCGTGTTGTATACTTATCTAATATTTATCGATTCACTTTCAATACATCAATGAAAACCTAAAACAAAATACTTTTAATAACCCTATACTATCCAATTCTCATAAAGTGGTGTTTCGCGCTATTGAATTGTGTTTTATCAACATTTCACGATTGCATGTTTACACATATACATACGACATAATTATACAATATATACTCATATGCATATTTTGCTTTTTGCTCGATGATTCCTTATTTGTTTTGTTGGAATTCGTGATGATTAAGCGTTACTCAGTTTCAGACGGCAATGAATGGCAATTGGCATCGGTGGCATTGGTAGTGGCATCGATGACCCAGCAGCTGGTATTTGGCATGCAAATTTTCTAACATGCAAAGCGACGAACAATAACAACAAAATGCATGCTTTGGCATATCTTTGCGTATGAATAAGTACGTAATTGCTTACTTTTGAGCAGTACACAAAAGACTCTCTTCTATCTTTTGTTGTTCTATCTAAAATTGAATATATGTATGTACATATGCAGATGTGGGATATTTAGGCATTAAACATACAACATTCAACAGAAATGGTCCCAAAACATAAAATACTCGAACACAAAATGATGACGATAACAGAAATATTTGCAGATTTCCATTTCAAAGGAAAGTATGAATAAACAATAACATACACATGCAAAAATTTTGATACTAGGAAAAAGGGGCGTATACCCTGTAACTTTAGAAAACATTCTTGACCTAACACTCATTCAACTTACCTAAAGCGGGGTGAATCCTTAAGACACTCCTCAAATTCTATGGTGGAACGCATTTTGGATGATTATCCTATTTGCACTTAATCAAAAGCACCACTCTGCAACCAATTTAAAGAACAATATCCGATTTCGCCACCACACAAATGATAAAATCGCTTATTTAATTTTTCAGCTGTTGCTCTTTCACACTCGTCATCAAAATCTTCACTACACACTCAGTGATTTATCTGCGTATATATTTACGTATAATAGCGATTTTTCTTTCACTGTAGCGCTTTGCATTTCATAAACTAATTAGTAATCACTTGATATCCCCTATTTTCCTTTTGTTTTATAGACTATAATACCACTAACTATAGAAATTGTATAAATACTTGAAATATGAAACAAATTTTGAGAACTTTTCTGGATAATAAACAGAAACACTTTCACCAAATTGACTTTTTGCGAATTAGCTATGGCAGCTGCTTGTCATCTTTCCCTCCTGATGCTTTGACAGTTGTACTGTTACGCTGTTAGATGCCGCGAACAGAAAGCAATAAACAAGAAATTCACAGAGTTGATATGAAACTCATTGTACAATTTACGATAAGGTTTCTTGGGTCCATAGTAAATGAGTTGTAAGCCTTTGTAAATGGGAAACCATGAGGTTGGACAATAATATTGAAATGATTTTGATAATTTGATCATAATTTACTTATCATTAGTTTTCTTATATAAAATTTGTGTGTTAGGTAATTCTTGTAGAGTTTCTTATATAAATATATTGAGCCTCACCTCTTCATTTATTGCAAACATTTATTTATTTGTTAAGATTGGAATATTTATTTTGATAACATGATTTTGAAGTCAAAACTGTCGGATCAACTATTTTTCAAAAGCTGGCAGCTCAGCTTCTCAGCTGTTTATTGTTTGGAAGCTCACATACAGATGTCGCCCATAATCAATTTTCTTTAAATATTTTTAATTTATATTATAAACTGTAATTCTAAATTCTAAGTAATAAAAACCAACTACAACTACTAATATATCAATTGTATAATATTAAATATAAGTTATAAGTAATAGTTTAATGATTTTTTACTAGTCTCCTTTTAACACAGCTGGTAACATTGCGGCAAATTGTTCTTGTTCCATTCGTGAAGCAAACAATGCATTTGTTTTATTTTTCGTTTCCAAATAAGTAGGAGAAATTATTGTCGGCAATAAAATAAACAGTAAATGTGAAATAAACAATTTATTGCAGCGCATGGGAATGAAGTGCTGTAGTGTGCGAGTTCATTAAATATAGATAATTATACTGGCTGTAATAATTCACAACACGTTTCGCGATTTGCGTTGGCGGTGACAGTGGGAGAACGCAAGATAGAAGCAAAATTGTTTAATTATTTACATTAAAGTTAATGGAATGTTATAATGAATATAACAGAGTACCAGTGTAGGAAAGAAAAACTATGCTGAGAAATTGAAAACCCAGTGAGTTCAGTGTCCTCTATGCCCTTTGTGGCTAATTTGTTTCCGTTTTTGGTATTCTCTCTTGATTGTTTGTGTGCTTAGCTATTCGGCTTGTAAATTCTTGTTTTTACCAATTATACTATCCACATACTCGTGTGTTTTTTTGGTTTTTGTGTGACAATCATTTGCATATTTTATGTAAAGATTTATACGTCACGCGTTCGCACGAAATAAAGTAAAAATTAAAGAAAACTCGATAGTGGCTATTAGCTTATAATTTATACAGACTATTCTGGAAGCAGGGCATAAAAGTAGTCGCTGATTACAGCGAATTTTCCTTCTCTCACACTTGACCCTGCAAGTGAAAATAGTGCCTGAAATATGTGGAAGTGTCACAAATGTGGAAAGCCTGTCTACTTCGGTAAGCAATTGCTGTTGAAATTCTAAACCAACACTATTAATAGTTGGTAATACATAATTTTCCACCCTACCAGCGGAGCGCAAACAATCGTTGGGCTACGATTGGCATCCGGAATGTTTACGATGTGAGGAATGTGGCAAGCGGCTAAATCCAGGCCAACATGCCGAGGTTTGACTTTATTTACTTATAAAATACAATGAGTATTCATTCAAAAAAATACTTTTAATCTCTTGGTCAGCATAAAGGAGTGCCTTACTGTCATGTGCCATGCTATGGTGCGCTCTTCGGACCGCAACTGTTCGGACATGGCACACGTGTGGAATCACATAAGAGCTATGGAGTAAAAGGAGCGCAACGCTCTTTCATTGGAAATGGTGGCCCGGTTTTGCCGCGGGATCATTTGGAAAGTAAACTAAAGGTAAGAGCTTTGCAAACCACAATAGAGTGCACCTCATTTGCGTGCATGGTCACAGGGGTATAGCCGGAAATGAACTGGCTGACGAGTTGGCCAGCTCTGCAGCCTCTACAAAAATGGTAGGACCAGAACCTATCTATCTAAGACCTTAGCAATCTTTACTACACACAGTTAATGCATAACATTTTTAAAGGTTTACAACCAATTTTATGACAATAAGAGCATGGAAATACGAAGCCGCGAAGTAAATAATCGGCTAATACTAGAAGGTGCATTGCGTGTGTCTTGGGGCGTACATGGTGTGATACATTTAAAAGAAGACGATGATCAGCGTACACTGGTTGTGCGTAAGAGGAATTCAAAACGTGTCTCCAAAGCAGCTGATGTAAGTTTATAAATTCGAAAATTATATTTTCGTTAAAAAAACTTAAATTTTTTGTAATAATAGGATAGCCCGTCGGATAAGGAAAACGACATAAGCGAATCAGTGGAAGCGCCAACAACTGCAAGTGAGGTCGAAAACATGTCAACAGATATCTCCCTGTCGGAGAGCATGACATTCGACTCGAGCAGTTTGAATGAATATCCTTTGACAGATTTACCCACAACGCCAGAAGAAGCTTCTGCCAATACCACTGGTGGTGCTGATGGTGCTGCTATGCCTTTATTAAATGGCACCAATGGTCGTGCTAACGATGATGATGAATCGGTATCCACAAGCACTCAATGTGGCACGGATACAACGATCACCACAGCATCCACGAGTTGCATGTCGGCAACGTTGCCTTCGAAGTTGGATAACTTAGAGAAGTTGGAATGGGATGAGATCGATGATTTGCTACAGGTACTATAATATATACAAATTTGATTTTGAAATTTTAATAATTTTTTCCAGGTGGAGCGTCGTGTTAGCGAGAAGGATAAAATTTACGAAACGATGCCAGTAAAACTACCATCGTCACAAACATCTTCTAGCTGTAGCTCACCCACAAAGACGATTTCTGCTCATAATCTCACCGAAAGCACGAATACTAACAGCGAAGTGCCATCACCAACCTCACCAACATCTTCCACAACTACAACCAACAATAGTAATAGCAATAGTGAGAGTAGCAGCACTTCTTCCGACAATTTCGTCACCGCAACCTCGGCGACCATAAATACCAGCTCTACGACAGCGGATAATTTCGAGTCGTCCGATGATGCTACACTCAAGCCGATGGATTTCGAGGAGTTCAAACGTAGTGTTCACTTAGATTATGTCAGTGGTGCCAATTCGTTTCGTGAGCCAAATGAGGACTCACTGAAGCGCAATCAACCAATCGATCCATCGAGAATAAACGATTCGCTCAAGTTCTACGGCGACAGTCCAATGAGCAAGAGCTTCAATTGCGAGCATGCCTTGCGTTCCATCGATGCGAATTTAATTAACGATACGCTGAATTTAAAAAGCGGCACGGCCAGTCCACATTCGATGCAACGCATTTATGCATTGCAAAAGAGTGGCTCCGCCACAACTGCAATGGATGGCAACACTAAAAATCTTTCCACGTATCAACATGGACACAACCATTTTCAGAAGGGTATAAATCGCTCGAAATCAGGACCATCGTGTTTTGATTACTCGGACAGCGATGATGACGACTCGACACTGAAGCCACAAAAGTCGGCCACCATACGACGTAGTGATGTGCCGCAACGGTATGTGAAGATCGAAATGGACTGCTATCCGAAAGATAACGACAAGGGTAGTGTTAGTGAAGCGGACTCCAGTCGCGCCGATGCGCCATCAATTACCGTGTCAAACAGTGGCAATGCTGGCGGCGATGAGTTGACGCAGACGGAGATGATGTACACGGCAAGTAGGGGTAGCGGTGCCGTGCACAATGGTGGCGATGGTGTTCATGATGATGATGATACAGATCCACCGCTACACGTAACCGAGGACGGTGTGGTCTTGCGCAGGCCACCGCGCACAGGTGCCGCAGCCATCAAGCGCCGCAGTGGCAACAGAAGGTACGTGAATTATTTTTTGTATTTTATTATAAAAATATATATTAATTTTTTTCTCTCTTGCAGATCGCGAACCAAATTAAAGCGCCGATGTTCCATCAACGGCCACTTTTACAATCGCGAAACTTCGTTCTTCACACCGCCCTACGGTTCGCAAATGTCTGTATGGGTCACATCGTTGGTCACCACAACGGAGGTTATCAATTTACTGTTAGAGAAGTATAAAGTCGACAGTGGTGTGGAGAATTTTTCGCTCTTCATTATACGCGATAATGGCGAACAGAAACGCTTGAAAGAGACTGATTATCCGTTGTTGACGCGCGTCATGATGGGACCGCATGAGGATGTGGCGCGTCTTTACCTTGTCGATGCCAAGAAAACGGATGAAATTAGGTAACGACAGGCGCATATTTTTAGCTAATTAACATTTTTTAATGTTAAAACTTTTACAGCAATGAGGTGGCTCAGTTTATAAACCTCTCACTGCCTGAGTGCCGTGCAATTTTGGAACGTTACGATGATGAGTTGGAGCGTGAAGTGGCCAAAGTTAGAGAACGGTAACAGTTAACAGAAAGTCTCACAGTTTGTATTTTTACTGAAAACAAAATATTTTACCTCTTCCAGATATACCGAGCTACGTCGGCGCATCATCAATCGCATGGAGTCGTTGAAGGTGCATCTATAAATGTGCTCAAAATTTGTGTTGCCTTTTTTTTTGTACTCTTTTACAGTACTTCTATTTACATTTTTTTCAATTTCTATTGAAAACGCTGTCTCAAATATTTTTTTTCACGCGCGTTGCGTAAAACTGTTCTAACAGCTCAAATATCATGCAAATAAGAAATTTACATAAGTTTAGTTTTAGTATTAAAATAGCACTTACATATGCAGCAGATAACGCATTTAAAGTTTTATAATGAGCACAAAACGGAGTGTTATTTTCGAAAGTCGCTGAAAAAACAGTTTCAAAACTCATTCCAACATTCAAGAATTCACATAAGGTTGGTTTTCGAATAATAAAAATGTTCGAAAAACAAAAATGTTCGAATCTTTAACTGCTAGAATCTAGATTCTGCAATGATTGGAGCGTTCAATAATACTCGAAATGCTAGTGTTTTAAAATCGTAAATTAAAGTATTCTTGAAACGTTAATTTTTCGAAAAGTAAAAATGTTCGAATCTATAACTACTTGGAAACAAAATATCAAATTTGCAATGCTGGAAAACATGATTAAAATATTAGTTTTATGAAATCGAAACTTAATTCTTAATTTTAAAATTTTGAAATTTTTAAAATTTCGAAAAACCAATTACTTAATCCCTTTTGTTGTATTTTTAAAAATATATAATATATAATATATAATATTTTTAAATTTTCGAATATGCAACTTTTCGGGGGCAGACTCTAATACGAATCCGAATTCGCCGAACCAACGTTGAAATGGTTCAACTCAATCATTTTAACGGAGAAAACGGGTTTAGAATTCATCACGTTTATTGTGTTCGAATTATTTTTTTTCGAGGGCGAGCTTTTATACATATTAATTGATATCGTGCGGAATGAAATAACGCTCCAGTGACTATGCAATAATCATGTCAATTTATAAACAAAAAATTAAAATAAATGCGACTAATCGTGAATCTCTTTCATGTTCGAAAAATAAATTTTCTATAATATATACACATATTGTATAGGTGCTTCTTTTCAAGAAACATAACAAATAGAAATTATATTAACAACTAAAAATAACTGTTAGCGTTTCGACAAACAACTAGTATAAAATAATCGAACTGGTATAATCGTGTGGTCCTGTGTTTCACCTATCAACTCTAGGAAAAAAAATATATGTATATGTGTAGTACAATAGCTTCAAGATATAACAGGAAGAGATTAAAAGGTTCTCTTGAGTTGAATTCAACTACGAAATATGTTACAATGTGCACAACTAAAGCGAGTAAAGAAGTGGCGAATCTCGAAGACAGTCAACATTTAAATTTTAAACGTACATACATACATATATATGAGTCCGGTTGTCGCAAGATCTTTTATATCTGCGCTAATCTCGGCTGCAATTAGTGTGGCATGCGTTAAAAGTGCAAGTATTATTTTGGGATTTTGAATTTTTGTATAATTTTATTGCATTTAAACAACAAAAATATGTGTTGTGGTTGTCACTAACAAATGCCATTTTTACTTCGATTGTAATCAATTACATAAACATATCCTTATAAGCTAAGTACTTTGGTTTGTTTACTCGCACCCCAGCGAGTAGTAATGATTTATTTATTAACCAAAAATTTTTTGTTTAGCTTTAAGTTACTACAAAATGTAATACACAATTACAACAACACATAATCAAAACTTTTATCATCATTATTATAATTTTAAAATTAAAAATTTATTTGTTTTGATTTTCTTAATTACAATTTATATAATTAGCAGAATTATGCAATACTTTTCTTTATAGTATTAGTGAAAAAAAACAACAAAAAAACAAAAACCAATAAATGAGCAAATGTTTGCAATAAAAGCAAGAATAACCAAATAAATGGCGTGAAGATCATTTTTACTCTCATACATACTTACATATGTGTGTGTTACGGCAAAATAATAAGAAAGCATGAATACAAAAACAATTGTATTCAACACACACTCATACTAATGCAAAACTAATGTAGCGTTATGTATGTATGTATATACATCCATGTAAACTGCTGCACCTGCGTTGTAACACAATTAAATATATAGTTTCGCGCATATATACATACAAACACACACACAAACATACACACATAGTACATACATATATGAAAAGTAAATAGAAATTGTTAAAATAACAAATTACAAATTAAAGCATACATACATACATATATGACTATGAAGTTGTTAATTGAACAAAATGAATGAATTGTGCGTATTTAATAAAACCCACTTGAAAAGCAATACCAAAAAACATAATCGTGTGTTTAAATATAGATATTTTCGGAGTTTTATATCCTGAACAGGGTTATGTTTGCTACGCGAACTGGCTGCTCAGATTTTGAAATATTTTCTACCCATGGAGCTGCTCATTTGTCGGAACCGCCGATATCGGACTATTATGGCATATAGCTGCCATACAAACTGAACGATCGGAATCAAGTGTCTTCACGAAATTTGGCATGGATTATTATTTAGGCACCGAATTATTGCTTAGATCGGATGTTATATTTATATAGCTCTCATAAAAACTGTCCTATTAAAATCAAGATAAAGATTTTTTATACCCTTTCATGTTATAAGGAATGCACTTGAGAAGGAGATTATTACATCGGAGCAGCCATATTTCAACCGAACCTGAAGGTTGATCACACAGCGCAGGATCAGATAACCTAGGTAAAGGATTCGAAATTGACTTAGGCAAATGTTAATCTACATTAGGTAGAAGGCCTCCATGGCACCTCTTCACTAAATATATTTTTTCTTTTTAACCACGTCGTAATATTGTATTCCCACAAAGCTTGGACAATAATGAATTCAGAAGCGCTGGTTCGTGGAGGTTTTGAGAGAAAGATTTATGATTCAATGACACTAATTAGCAATAAAAAGGTACGAGAAAATTGAGAATAAACTACGGGAGCAACGTAAAATGAGGTTGGAGTATGATCAATACATATTTCGGCGTTATTTCTATAGGAATATACTAGGTGATCCGAAAATTGGTTCAAATAAATGAAAAAGTTTATTCACAGGAAACAAATTAAAATAACCAATATCACAAACTCTGCAACAAAAATGCTGTTTTGTTTTGAAAACTAAAAAAATGCTCAAAAAATTGCAAGACCTCAGTTTATTTTTCAAAATTCTATTAAAAACCAGGGTTTTTTTTGGGCTCACTTGAATTCATAAATAAATAGGTTACACTTTATATTTATTACTGTTTTTAAATGTATACATGCCATAACTATTATTACACTCTCAACGTCTTGCGTGAACTAAGCTTACAAACAAAAAAAGCTTTCCGAAATGCGACTCCTATAGTATGGCGCTAACAAAAGAAACTTAGTGATTATTGTTACTTTTGGGCGCTTAATGTAAAAGGGTATAGCTCAAAACGGAAGCAGTAAATTTCATATCCGAGGATGGTGCTATACCTGAATCCGATGACATGTCAAATTTTGAATTTGAAGTTGATAGCAAGAACTTTTGAGTCTTAATCTTAGTAACTCACACTACTAAGATTAAGACTCAAAAGTAGGAGCTTACTTTTATCGGGAATGCGTTCCTCTTTGTTTAGATATCGTGAGAAGCTCACTGTTACTTTGCCACAGTTCACTGCCTACTGCCTGTTTGGTGGTTTCAATAAAGATTTCATACAACCCTGAACAGCGGCGGATTTTCATGAATTCTTGGAAAAGAAGCCTTAAAACAGTTCTTCAAAATGGCGGTTTCTATACTTCTATTCCTGTCGGTCATTCCGTACAACTCACAGAAACCTCCAAGAATTTGGAATTGATTCTTTGTAAATAAATATATAACGTATAACCGAATATTTCATACTCAGGCAACTTACAAGGATCAAAGCCGGCTAAATACCTTCAAGGTTTGGCAATATTAAAAAATTTAGCGAAGGGGTTCAACTTCGCTATTCGTCATAATCGTGAACGGATTACAATCAAATTAGGTATCATATTAACCTACTTTGAAGATCATAGACTCTATTAGTTTCATTTTTATCTTTTATTTCCCCTTGGCGAAAATTATACTTAAATCATTGGTAGCAGAGAAATGGAAGGGCTGACTGCACTAATTTTTAACATTGTTCAGGCATACTTGAGAACTTATTTTCAAGCAATTTTTATATATATATAAACATATATGCTACTTGTATATGGAGTAAAATCAGCTGGATGTTTCGAAATCCTGAATATCAGTTATATGGGGCTAAGGCAAGTTTTCTCCCGATTTAAGCCATTTTAAGCACAAGGTACACTGTTATTAGAAAAATACACTCTCACAATTTCATTAAACTAACTCTCACAATGGCCGATATATGTGGTGTAAAGTCAACTGGAAGTACGAAAATTTTTATGTTAGGTATATGGGGGCTAAGGGAAGTATTGATTCAATTCAACCCATTTTTACACAAGCGTATATTATTATCAAAGAAACATTTTCCCCGAAGTTCAATAATAAATTTTGATTGTCAGATAGGTTTAAAATGAAATACTTTCAGGGCACTTTTGTGCAAAGTTTTATCCGGATACATTCATTGGTTCATGATTTGTATACTGGAAAGTTAAAGAATCAGATGAAATTTAAAATTGTGTTATATGGGAAGTAGGCGTGATCTGATTTCGCTTATTTTAACACAGTATTGTAGTAATGTCACGATAATATTACATACCGAATTTGGTTGAAAACAGTCGAGTAGGTCCCGAGATATGGATTTTTTACCTAAATGTGGGCGGTGCCACGCCCATCATCCAAATTTGTCACCGGCTTCTATAAAGCCCTCTCGTACTATCTCGGGTCTAAAAGTGTATGTCAAAAAAGCATTTAGTTATTGATTTATCGCAGTTTTAGTAGTTTTTAACTAAACTGTTATATGGGGGGTGGGCGTGGTTATCATCCGAATTCACCTATTTTCATCCTGTAGTAAGAGATGAAATGAGGAAATGATTTGTGCCGTGTAAATTTGGGTGATATAGCTTAAATAGTTTGGGATATATATACATAAAACCTATTAGGGGCCGGGCACACACCCACTATTAAAAAGTTTTCAAGCCTCATGTGCCTCTTATTATTGCGATTCGTTGTACCAAATTTGAGTTCCGTATCTTAATCCTTGTTTAACATAGTCAGCTTTAATTTTTTTTTTTTTTGGGACTTGTGTAATGAAATTTAACGTTAATTAAACTCGTATGCTTGGATTTAGGCAGAATCCACCTACTTCTTAAGTGCATTGCTGACATTCATGAATTAATGATTTGAAAAATATCTAAAATACATGCCGGAGCATACGTTTTGAAAATAACTGCGGCTACGTGCTTACACGTTATCGCTGCGCGCAGTATAACGCGGCATTAGCGACGAGCGCCGAGCGACAGCACCGAAATAGCACAGAAAACTGGAACGGTGAAAAATGAACGAAACTGTTTGCATTACCAGTGCTGTTGCTATTATTTTTGTTGTGTACAAATCCGAAGTTAACGTACTCGGTGAAATCTAAAGACACAGTAAAAAGCACTCGACCAAAAATTAAAAATCGTGCCAGCGCCAATTGCGTGTGACCAGCAGCGGCGGTGGCGGCAGTTATGTCAGCGCGGCCCGATGACTTAGCACGTGAGTGCTGCGTCATATCGGCAGGGTGCCTATCTGCAAATGGTAAGCGAAGCCAACAAAATGGCCATCCAGCTAGCCAGCCAGTCAGTCGGGCAGCAAAGCGGCCGCGTTTATACCAACAAAACTACAATGCTGGGCTATGCGTGAGTTTGTGCGTTTGTGGAGACAAGCCAAAGCCCGCGCTGATGACTCCGCGGTCATGCATTGAATTGTTGCGACAGTCATGTATGCTGGGGGCAGTAAGAGAGACTGGAGCAGCGACGCATGGCGGAGTGACTGGTAACTGGCTTGAGAGCTTGACACAACAGAGCTTTGCCCCGTTGACTGGCAAGCTGACTGCTTGACAACTCATTGCGCCGTTAATGCACTGCCATGCCGATAAAACGTGTTCGACGGCCAAAAATTCCTCAACAGTGCCGAAAAATTCTAAATGGCACATTTCCCATTGCCAATGAGCAGAAGCGCAACAACAACACCGGTATATCTCTTTTGGCATGCAGCACACACACTGCAGTGTCAGTAGGTGGAGACGGTAGTCGGCTTGAGGACAATGGCAATCATGCCTGACTCATCATTGTGATGCCTGAGTGGCTGGCTGTGCTGGCTGCCTGTCGGAAAGCTCCGGCGCGGTGAAGTGTGCGATTCAATGATGCACACACAAATTTTGTTTTACGCTGTTGTTGTTGATTTTCCTATGCGCTGCCGAAAAATCTGAGCCTAAATATACATTCAAGCACTCACACACGACGTAAGGGACGCGCACCAGCAGCTTCCGCCTGTGCAACGCGCGCACTCGGCCGAATCGAATCACAGCAGGTGGACATTAAGATGTGTCGCCGTCACCGTTGCCACAGTTAGTGGCAGGGATTTTTTCCTATGACTTGATTGCTACGTCTAGGTAGTGACTGCTGCCCGCCAAAGGCCTAGCTGTTGTGTTAACAGCGTGGGTTCAGAGAGTACGCTTAAAAGAGAATTGAATATTTGCCACGGTTCAGCAGCGGTGACCAGCTAATACTTAGGTAAAAGACTTTTGCTTTTTGACTCGTACTCATTTAACGGTGCCTTAAATTGCACGGCATCACGGACGGACGATGTGTCGTCGTTGGCTTAGCGCACATCGATGATATGTAATCGGGGCGGAAAGCGCTGCAAGCGGCAGAGTAGCGACTACGCGGCGCTGCTCGCAACCAAATACAAAATGCGTTCGTTTTTTTTTATTCTTTTCGGTTTTTTGCACGCAAAGTAAAAATCGATTTTGGTTGCGCCTTCTAAACGGGTATTGTGGTGCTTGTGTCTGTGTGCGTTCATCTAGTGGTATGTTGTTTTGTTTAGTTGTTGTTTTGACATTTTCTCGGGCGGTGGGGGTTAAATGTGCTAAAATGTCCTCTATCTATGCTTGGTTATTTAAGGCAGGAGGGTTGGTAGTTCGTGGTATAAGAGCAGAGAGATAGAGAACGTATTTGGGAAAATGTTGAATCATGCGCAGTTTAGTAGGCTTAGCAACTTATAGTATACACTGAGAAAACGCTGGTGAAGTTAAATATAACTTCAGCGCAGCGACTTTGAGTTCCGAAAATAAGCAGACGTCTTGACCTACCCAGTTCAATATCTGAACTTGTGTCTATATTATTTTCGTTTTTGTTGTTGTAATATCAGTAAACTGTTTTGGACAACGTTGTTGGAGTATAGTGAAAATGCATTGTAGGTCTGAGTAATACTGATCGACTTTCGAGTGCCATTAAGATCATATTTGTGTATTTGGGTTTCTGATTATTGGTTCAAGATATTCGCAAATCTTATTAGATATATTACTAGCACACTTCAAAGATCGTTTTACCTTTTGGTTGTATTCTACATATCTTTAAAGTGCAAGTTCAAATCCTCGTTTTCAGAACATCGCGCTCACTTTTTTTGGCTAATGCGACTCAAGTTCTCCAAAGTGAATATTAAATTTTTCCGGTAAATTGTACCGTTAAGTACCTGGCCTACAAATGAAAAACGGAAATTTTCGAAAAATTATGATTGAGAAATAAATCATTTTGTCCTTTTAGCCTAATACACTTGACCTACCGATAATCGAACTGCACTGTCTGAATAATATTTCTGCAAAGTGGTCTTCCGAGGCGGGGAAAGGGCAGCAGCTCCAGGTCCGATGCGACCAAAATCGTTGTGAGACGGCGGTGGTGAAACGATTTCTTTTTCGGCAAAATAAGCCATTTTTCGGCAAATCGGCGTAGAATGAAAATAGCGGCCATCACATTTCCTTGATCTTGGGTGTGACGAAACGACACAAAAATTCCTTCGAATAACGCTTCAACAGCGTCAAACACTGTTGTGACGTGAGGATATGACATACGATGTCTTTTGAAATGCCTACTCTCACAGCTATCTCGAGCTCCATCAATTCTCGGTCTGTCAATACAAGTTTTTGGACTATCCTCGATTATAGCCGTTTTCGGGTTAACTGGGCATGCTTCATAACAACCGACGTGCGAGCATTTCGAAACACGTTAAAACAATTTCGAATCACCGACCAATTTGGTTCTTTTTCGGTTTTTCTAGAATTTGTTTCCATATATTGCTAAACCAAAACTACGAGTTCGATTTGGCTGAAATCTTGACAGTAGTTATCCAAGAAAAATGAGAGTGGCCTCATTGGACGATGAGACTTAATATATATCGGATCGCACTCGATGTTACTAAACACAAAATTTGATTCGGACTGACAAAAAATCGTACATTCTCACGTATTTTAATACAAATCTTCATTATCGTCTTCAAAATAAGCTCCTGAGCCAATACAAGCATTAAGCTCATTTTTTTAACGCCATTCGCTGGTTTGTTGGACAGTCACTAATAATGAAGCGTTGCGATTTTCTACTCGACGTCGTTTTTTCAAAAGATTCATCTCTTTTGGAACGAGTCTAGCATTGATTGATTATGATGGATGGAACACCTGCATGGGTAAAATATTCTAAGGCTTTGTGACTTATGTCATGATTCATGCTCCCAAAATACCGTTCTCGATAAAATACTTGAACAGATAACTACAGTATCATCAATGATTTCTGGAGGCAATTCAAAATGCAAAAACTCTCTCAGAAAGGGGAAATCTCACTATGGGATTTGATTTTATGATTCTTCGAATAGTGGTGAGTGGCAGGCATAGACTGCTAATAAAAACAATAATAAACGTTAACTTCGGTTGCGCCAAAGCTATAATACTCTTCCTTACAAGAACTGGATTTTGATCGGTCAGTTTGTATAGAAGCTATAGAGTATAATGATTTATCTAAACCACTGCCTTGGACAGTAATCTATGTCGAATTTCTTGAAAATATCATCTCAAACAAAAAAGCTTGCCATACATGTATTTGATTCCGATCGTTCAGTTTGTATGACAGCTATGGTAAATGCTATAAGTCCGATATCGGCGGTTCTGACAAACGATAAATTTCCTGGGGGCAAAAAGAGGTGTGCTAAATTTTAGATCGATATCTCAAAAACAGAGGGACTAGTTCGCGTATGTACAGACAGACGGACATGCCTAATTCAACTCAGCTCGTCATTCTGATTGTTCATATGTATATTTTATAGGGTCTCCGACCTCCGGGCGTTACAAACATCGGGGCAAACTAAGTACACTCTGTTTTTTAGTTTTTGCCTTATCGGAGATTTGAAGCCACGATTTATGCTCTCGATTGCATTATATGCCTTTTTAGAGGTTAGAGAGAGTATTAATAAATAAAATAAACATGAAAGTCCTTATTATTGGGAGTTGAAGAGCTCAGATGCACATATTCTACAAAATATTCCCCAAAAACATTTCTTCATATCGATTTCCTACAAGTAGGTGGGCAAGATGTCATTAGATCTGTTACCCAGCAGTATTTTATGATGTTATATGGCAGCAATTTTTTCTTACTAAAACAGCAACTGCTTATGAAGAGTATACCAATTTGAAATAGTAAAATTATTGCAAAACTTCACTTCCACAATTCGAGTCAGTAAAACCGATATAAATTTCCAACTGACCTCTTTTTACGATTTATTGACTATTCTGAAACAGCGCTCTCACCAAATTCGAAGAGTTGGCACCCTTGCTCCGCTTAGATGCGCTCACACTCACGCCGCATGCGTCGCACAGCTAACCGAGATTCGCTTGAACCACCAAAGACGCGACTTGACAAAAGAATTCCGTGCATACCAATAGGAACAAGTCCATTCAGTCAGTTTACATTCGGACGCGGCGGTGGCTAAAAGTGTTGCAAATTGTCAAGCGGATGAAAAAGGACTTTGCTTTGAATAAAATAGCAGCACATAGCAGAGCATAGTAGAGCATAGCAGAGACCAACTAAGTGCACTGTGTATACATATGTAATATATTATATCATATATATTTACATTGCGTATGTGCGCTTCGTGTGTTTAAAGTGTTAGTAGTGTAAAACAATAACAACACGCTAATAGCGAAGAAGGCAGCTCAAATAGACACACATGCAGACATGCAAACACATATGCAGACACAAATGAATTTTAGTTTTTACAACTATTTACTGTTACTATAACTGTAACTGCATGAATGCGTTTGCGAATGCGGGTGGAGAGCCAAAATTCGAAGATGAGCATTTTCCCTCGTTCCTTGTGCACGCAATTCTAGCAGCTGCAGTTATAGTTGTGTGAGTTGTAAATGTGTAAGTGTAAGTATATGTATGTTTGTGAATTTTTGCTGCCTTGCCTTCGCAGACAATAACAAATGTGAATGAAAATTTCAAAGCAAAATTTTATAAAAAATTTGTCATACGCGGGCGTTGTACTTGTACACAACAACAATAAAAACAAAATAAAATAAATTATCATGTAATCAAATTATGAATTCTTGCAGTGTAAGCTCGTAATTTGCGTGCTACAAAGGAAACGGAAATTGCTAACGTAAATTACACAGATCATTAAAGCGTTTTTCAGCGAACGACGGCAAAGAAAACGCAGAAAAAGAAGAAAAAACATACATTACAAAAACATATAAAAGCGACCGAAAAATAATCGAAACATTTAAAATCTTGAGTGCAACTGTTACGTCTATTACGCTTCACGTATCGTTGTTGTTGTTATTGTGAAACGTTGCAAACTAAAAAAATTATAAGAAAAATGAGGTGTTTACTTTTGATTGCCACCATTTGTCTGGTGTTGATGTCATCCGGTCTGAGTGGCGCTGATGCCAAGAAGAAGAAATATGTTGGCGAAAATGGCGGCGATTTCGAGTTTATCGATGAGGTAAGTGCGCAATGAAGGCAAAAGTAAAGTAACAGATGTAGGAAACAAAGAAAGAATGAAAGAAAAATAAAAAAATAATAAATTTCTAGCACAGAGGGTGGGTACAACGACATTGAGGAAGCAATAAAAATATATATAAGCAGTAAGAGTCACAAATACTAATACATACTAGTTAAATATATATATAAATATATTTATATGAAATACATATGTATGTATTTACAACGCCTATATACCATGCAAATGACAGCTAATTAGCGCGACAGCAAGTTACAAATGTCCACGACGCTGTGGATTGACGGTGCTACACTGCGTATAAGTAACCTGAACTGCCTTTGCTTTGGTAAGGTGTTCAATACACATAAAAACATACTGAAATACTCAAAGCACACATTTCCAATCGGCAAATGAAGCCAATTTGCATTAACGTGTGGTCACTTCTCGCCCTACTGCTTTTCCCCTTGCCCCACATTGGCAGTGTGTTGGCCACAACCCATCCACACACCTGCCACTCATTTTCTTATACTCCTCTGTGTGGTAGCTCAGAGCACTATAAGCATTTTTCTTGAATTATTTTTTTTCGTTTTTTCCAATTTCGTTTTTCACCTTTACACTTCACTAGGCGCCTTTTGTCTGTGTCTGCTTTTGCCAATTACTCGCCTAAATCCGATTTGTTGTCGGCGTTGTGTGTGGTGTGTGTTATTGCGGTGCTTTGTTGCTTTTGTTGTTGCTACTGTGGTATTAAGCGCGCTCTGCTAATTCACAGCCATAGCTCATCTACGGAATCAACAACACAACAAACAAACGTGTCTTTGCGTATTTAGGGTGTGGACACATGCCGATAAAGGGTGTTTGATTTGTTGGGAGCAAGTAGTCTGTGAAAATATTGTCTTCCTTTCCTTCCTAAATTTTTGGATCTTTAGAAGATCAGACAAATAATTGGATCTCTCAAATTATTGCAAGGACATTTTATTCTATGATAGAAATGGTTTCTCTAAATTCTTTAGCTTGAGATTTTTCATATCATCATATCATATCATACTCTCCTAATTCGACATAACATTTTTTCAACCTATCGACACCTTTCAGTTTGGTCAGTTCTGCGAAGCTTAACCTCGATGAAAATACACTTAAATCCAATAGTTCTGGCACATAACACCATTTAAATGCTTTAAAAAAAATATTAAATAGAAATGTGTCTACAGTGTGATGGATCCAATTCCGAGGCACTACAATATTTTAATCACCTAGACCGAGGCCTAACACGTAAAAATCCGACAAAATGTAGACATGCCACCAAAAACTAGGTGGGGAAAAGTAAAAATATTTAAATTAAAATACAAATTCAGTCCTTATTTTAGTGAAGTTAAGGCTAAAAACTTTAACTAAAACTTTGAAGGTAAATTCCTAGAGGATTTTTTCCTGATAATAATGTACCATTGTGTGCAAAATAGGTAAAATCAGTGGAAACCTAACTTCCATATACCTATATAAAGATTTTTGAACTTCGGATTGAATTTATATCGCATATTTGGATCAATAACTAAGATTTCTTATTCAAACTAACTGAAGGTATATACTATCCAATACTATAGTTTACTGCCGAATGTGTATTAAATATGTCCATGAAACACCCCATCTTCCATATACTACATATAACGATTTTTGTGATTCTAGAAGACTTTATAGCGAATATGACAATCAGTGTCTGAGTTATATGGTATAATGGAATCAGTCCAGATCTTCCTCTAGCCCCACTGTACCCGATATGGTGATTTCCGATATTCCGGCTGACTTTAAGCCCTTTGTGTCAGTCAATACTCATAAGCGCGGTATTTTAATAAATAAGGGGATACGGTTTTCAAAATATAATGTGGTTTAACGCTGAATATGAATGAATATACACCTTTTTTTAGTATACACACTATATTATATTTAGCCCCTTTGGGTTGAGTTTAAATCACATATGTCTCATTTTAGTAAATTAGGTTGATTTTTATTTAAATATTTCGGACACGTAGAAAAATATAGCAGTAAACGATCATTTTAATTTCGATAAAGATATCGTTATTTTTAGTTCTTAATTCTGATTGTTACGGTAAATTTATATGTGCAAATATTTAGTATTTTTTAAAATTATGACTTATAATTATTATTTTCGATTTCAATTTGCAATATATAACATTTTCCAATTTTAACAATATCGATTATTTCTAATTCGGTTTCGGGTTTTGATTGTTTTTCATATCGATAAAAATATCGACTTTGTAATTTAATTTTTACAATACATTTTCGGTAATAGTTGAGTTTTAATTTTAATGTATCGATAAGGTTTAGTAATATCGTTTGTTTTTATTTCGTTTACCAATCTACTTTATATTTCCCTCTCGTAGAAGGAATATAAGAAGAGATGGAAGGAATATTATGTTAAAATAGTATATAACATTATAGTATAATATTTATATTAAATTCATTAATTTATATTTGGAAAACTGTCATCTCTAATTGCCATTAGAATACAGTAAATTTAGATTTATCTGTCTAGTTAGTAACTTTTTAATTCATCGCATGAATTTGTTACGAATTTCACGGAAAAATGTCATTAATAAAAAACTTTCTAACGAAATGCTCCAAAAAGCACATACTCTATGCACAGTATATATGTACATACATATATACATTTTTTTATTTGTCTATCTCGTGTTGCAGCTACTTTTGGCTGAGAGCTTGGTCAACGGTCACTTCGTTCGGCTAGGTGTCGATTGCTTTAATGCGGGCATTAGTGTGGCTTTTGTCAGAGCTATCTGCAATCACACACACACATATCCACCTACATATACACAAACAAACACACATGCAGGCTCAAAGATAAGCAGACGGCACGTCAGTGACCACGGTGTGGGGAAAACAACCAACTTTCTCAAGTCAGACGCTAATGATAAAGTTGTTGCTGTTGGTTATGCTCATCTAGAAGTATACCACGTAGCTATTTTGTGTATGTGCGCAAGTATAGGCAACATTCCACTTCATTCACACTTTAATTTGAACACAGGTATTTACAAGTGGCGCATTATATTCACCCGGAGCACTGGTCTGCTCAAAAGTTTTCTGGGCGCGCAAGCAGTTCTTCAGTAGCTAGGTGAGCCAATAGCCAGAAGCCAAATACACAAACACAGTCACATCGTCGCTTACAAACAGGTTAAGCGGCTTGAAGTGTGAGCGTTTAGTGCGCCACATAACGGAAATCGACAAACGGAAAAAAATCAATAACATTCGGTTCCTGCACAGATATACACATATATATATATATATACATATGTATATGTATACAATATACATACATAATGATCACATGTGTAAGCTATGTGAAATCAGCTTCACTGGCACTGGTGGCATGACTGTTGCCGGCTATCCAACTGAATATGCATGGCTCTCGAGGAAGGGGGATACATTTGTAGAGATGGAGCTAGTGGTGTAGTGTGAAAATAGTTAAGGGTTGGCTGAGAGAATGACGGATTAAGAAAGTAGTTGTGGAAGCACACATTTATCTAAGCTAAGCGGCTAAGGATCACCAACGCTCTGCTCGTTGTCATTGCAGATATTTTTGATGTTATATGTATGTTTGATTTGGAGCTGATGTTGGCTGTTGTTGTTGATTTTTTTGTTGTAAAGTTATTGTTACGCTAGAAAATGCGTTTGTAGCTTGTTGATTTCACTGTTGTAGATACATGTAGAATTTATCACTTTTAATTGACAACAAAAACAACACTAAAAAAGTAAAAAGTATATATATATGTATATGTACATGTAGATGTATCTATTTTATATATATACCTAACATGTATGCAACATATAATTTTATTGATTTTTTTTACCACAAACCTTAGTAAACTTTGGCTATATTTGGCTATAATATTACACTTTTTGTAATTGGCTGAGTAAATTTAATTTACATAAATATTTATAGATAAAGTTAAATATATAAAATTAAAATTAGACGCTATTCGGCCATATTGAAACAATGAAAATTAAATATTTTCTAATATTAAGCTCTTAATTCACATATTTTCATTTTGCCTGATGGTTTCGCTCCTTATATGCTTAAAAATTCGTATCCCATCAACTACTGAAGTTTTCTTTTTAGAAACTTCGTACTTCTGCTCCATATGCTACGATGTGGAAATAGATGAAATCGGACAATAGCCACGCTCCTTCCATTTAAATATTGTATCCCTATGCATGACAACTCCCTATTTTTGATCTCTTTATTGAATTTGCAATGGAAACCATAAGCGTTAATAAAAGTGTCGAGAATTAAGGAGTTATAAATCTCGTAAGTGCGTTGAAAAATCTTCCAAGTTGTGGTAAATCACTGAAAAAATTCTATATTAGATCTAAGGAACGTGAATATGTTATCTATATACAATAAATAAAAATGTTTAATTTTTTTCTGCAATTTAAAACATAATGGTAGTTGGCTGTAGGCTTGCTGTCATTGTGGATCTACTTGTATGTCGGCGGAAGAGAGAGTTGAAGTTTTGGGGAAATTTGAAAACTCGGTAAACTCTACAAGGCTTTATTTTCTTGCAAGTAAAAGCGAATTTGGAATTCAATGATAATCATTTCATGCTATTCTCAGGTGATCATCACCGTATCACTGATCAGAAGATAAGGAAGAGTATCAAAAATTTAAATATAATGAAATTAAAAAAAAAAAAAATAAATTCAAAATTAGCAAGTATGAAGTCATATTGAGTAGCATTTGAATAAAAGCTGGAAATCTAAACACCACCACAATTATTATAACTTAGGTTAGGTGAAACATTTTTAAAATTGCAGCGTCTAATTTAATTAAGCACAATTTTTAAATTTAAATATTTTAACTTTTGTATAAATCGCTCTTTTAGTCGTCTCGCCATAACGCAGATATTCGCCGGTTAACTGCAAACGATTTTTATTTTTTCCTTTCCTGCCCATTTCTATATTTTTCCATTTTGTAT